TTCATCTGTAGATATCTGTAAGGAAGCCCTGTCTTTTGGAGTGAGTTTGATTAACAGTTGAGGCACGCTGGTTAAGTGAGCATTCTCTAAAGGAAGGTCAAGTGCATTGAAGTTAATGGAACAGAGGTTCTAAAGAGGATAGAATCTAGGTGGGAAAGCAAGGGGCCTTATGATGAAATTAGAAGAGAGGCTAGGACATTGTGTTATAGGTGGTGGCTGAGTTTGAATATTATGAGAGGCATTATGGGAATAACTGTTGGAGGATTTCAGAGGTTTGAGAGAGAGGGATGGAGATCTAGATGTGATTTCTAGTCCTGTCACTCATTAGCTGAATGACCTTGGATTAGTTCTGTAGTCAGTCTGTTTCTTTGTCAGTAAAACCGATATATAAATAGTTGCCTCGTGGATTGTGATGGAGGGTAGAAATCATATATGGGAAACAATATAGTCCTTGGCCCACATAGAAGGAACACAGAAAATGATAGCTGTGGTTATTAACTGCCCTCATGGTCACCCCCACAGTGTTAGAGGTCTGTAAGTTTGATTTCTGGTTTAAAGAGATTGTCACTGTCAAGTGTTCCGGAGCTTTGGAAGAGAGATGTTCTCAGGTGGTTGGGGAACAGGATTGGTTTTCTCCAATGATGCTCATCTTTGTGGAATCAACAGTGTTTTTGGAGGCGCCAGGCTTCAAAGACTAGAATTGAAGATAACCTCTAGACGTGTAGTTCGTAGAGCTGCTCTGTTTTGAGATCCCTGCAGACCAGCTGTTCTCAACCTTCCTAATGCCGCGACCCCTTAATAACAGTTCCTCATGTTGTGGTGACCCCCAACCATAAAATTATTTTTGTTGCTACTCTATAACTGTAATTTTGCTACTGTTATGAATCATAATATAAATATCTTTGTTTTCCGATGGTCTTAGGCGACCCCTGTGAAAGGGTCATTCAACTCCCAAAGGGGTCGCGACCCACAGGTTGAGAACCGCTGCTGTAGACCTTTAAAAATACTGGTATTTGGCTGCTTCTCAGACCCAGTCATTCAGAATCTCTTGGGGGTGGAGCCTCAGCATCTCTTTATAACATGTTATCCAGGTGGTTCCCCTCCGAGAGCTGCTTGAGAAAGCAGGCTCAGGACACAGACAACTCCGCTCTGAAATGCGCTTGCAGTGGGAATGATTGGGAACGTACGTATGGGCAATGGGGAGAGTTATCTTTACAGGCTTAAAACTAGCTAAAGAGTTTGAGTGGGGGGGAGTAATGATTTTTAAGTATTGTATGTAAAATATATTTAAATCCAAAGGATGTTTTCTGTGTGTTCCTATTTGCCGTGGATGAAACCATTAGCAGATAATGATGACTTTACTAAAGGTGCATTTTGACATGTTACACTGGCATCTTAAGACTTATATTTTGTACATTAACCTTAGTACCAGTTCTCATCATGTACTCCAATTTTTAAAAAAGAAGCCAAGCTTGTTATTATGTTTCAATAAATGTGCATTCACATATATGTGTATATATCTGAGTGTGGGTTATATTGCATATCTCATTCAGTGTGGTAAAGGTCTTTTTGAGTTTTGAGAGACATTTTATTATGTTGTAGTTTCATTCATAGAGATAATACCTTTTTTACATTTAGAAGTTAAAGATGTGTGATATAAAAATGAATATTAGATATAAAAATCGAGAAATTAAGATGAGAAAGGGAGGAAGAAGGAAGTCAGGTAAGAGATTAATATGGAAAACAGCGAAGTAAGAGGGATAAATATCATAAAAGAAAATAGGAGGTGAACGGGAAAAAGAGGAAAATATACTACTGATATTTGAAGAGAATATGCCAGATTTGTTTTTTGGGGCATGGATATAAATGTTTTCCAACTTTCAAGGAAATTTTCTTAAGTGAGACTGTACCAGAGAATGAAAAAAAAGATAATAAAGGAAAAAAGTGTTAGGCACTCCACGTCCATCTTTCAGCTCACTCTTACCTGTAGGATTTTCGGAGAAAGAATGATATTGGTGTGGGTGTTAGAAGAAATACATTAACTTTCCTGATCGAATTAATTGAATATGATCTAGGACAGTGTGCCTAGATTTTACTTTCGGTTATTTCAGTTTCCATGCTAGGATTCTGGCTCCTTACTGTCCATTGGATGGATACTCGTGCATCTTGGAATCTTTGCTACTGGGTTTCGCTCTAGGTCAGGTGGAGTTCAGGTGTGTTGAGGATGGGCACTCAGCGACATCACCGGTCTTCCAGAATTGGGGAATTTGATTGCTAACAGGCATAGCATTCTTAGCAGTGTGGATGTGTTTGCCAAGTTGTAGCCTGGCAGTTAGCGGTAGTACCCTCTAGTAATCCCCACAAAGAGTCTGTGCAGCTGGGGCCATGCCATTCCCCCACTCCAAGAAACAAGGATTTTTTTTTGCGAGGTTGAAGCCATGGGTCTAGTAGTTAATCTTTGCTCTGGGTGCATAGCTGGGGGAAATATCTTTTTCCCTTTCTGAGTAGTTTCTGCTGTTTAATGAATCTAGATGGCAGTGTTTTATTGCCCCAGTTTAATTGCTCATTACCTGTTCGTGTCCAGAGAATGAACAAATGGACCTCTGGTACAGTTTATACATAGTGCTTTTTTTTTTTTTTTTTGCCTAATCATAATAAGGCTCTTACTTGGTTATAGCCAGAGCAGTAGCATTATCTTTTGCTCTAGTTTTCTGATTCATTGCACATTAATGATGATGTGCTTTTATCAAATGACCGATTGTTTCCATGGCATCATACATTTAGTTTATTATATGGCCACCTGTAGCCCTCTTCCCCGTTATCATTAGCAACGGCAATTAAGTTTTTTGTGTGTGCGCCTTGTAGTTTATTTTACTGTATAGTCTTACAGGCTACTTGCAAATTAGTATATGAAGTCCATTCCCCTGTTTTTCATTTCTTTTTTTCCCCCTGGCTTACTGGCCTAGTGGTGTATGTTAATTGCTTTCCTCTTCCTTTTTTATGAATAGTTTTCCAGCCTGGCTTTTTTTTTTTTTTAGATTTTTTTTTTCTCTACTGGGGAATTGGGGGAGAGGAACAGCATTGGGGAATCGGGGAAGGGGAACAGACAAGTTGCTGTCCTTTTGTTCTTCAGTCTAGTTGTGGGAACATCGCTTCACTGGCTCATGTTGGAATTATCATTGCACTCTTCCCAGCTGAGATAGTCGCTCACTGGCCATTGGACGGCTGCTTACGGCGGCTCACGGCAGCTCCTGAAAGCTCACACCAGCTGCTGGCCAGCCCCACTGCAGCCTACGCTGTCGCCAGTGACTCATGGCAGCCCAGCTCCAGGTCGAGCTGTTGTTCACCATCTTAGCTGTAGAGGGCGCAGCGTCACTGGCCCTCATGCGGGATCTGAACCGGGGCCCTGCTGCTCAGAGCTGGCATCCCAAGACAACTCTTAACCAACACGCCACTCGGCCGGGCCTCAGCCTGGCTTTTTAACCCCCTCTTATGCTCCTGTGATCATGGTTCTTGTCACTTCTGTTGATCTGCCCATGCCCATCCCTAGTCATGCTTTCACTTGGCAGCTGTCTTTGATTCCTCTGTATTCTTTCTGTTCATATTGAGATCATAGCAGCTTCCAACACCGCCATTTGTTTATCTGTTCATTGATGGGCTCTGTCGATAGGAAGATGCATCAGAAGATAGAGTTCGTAAGGACAAGCTTGTGGGGAGACTAATACATATATGCTGTTTGTAACTTGATTATATAACTCATCACATTATATACTGTTTATGTGTTCCTCTTCCATTAGATTGTGAGCATTAAGTGTTCACCTAATGTTCAGTGAATGAGTGTGTGTGTGTGTGTGTGTGTGTGTGTGTGTGTGTGTAATGATAAGGGCTATAAAAAGTGAACAGAGTGCTGTGGGAAACCGATGAAGTAACAATCCTATTAAAGAACAGTCTGGGAAAGATTTATAGGTGATGACATTAGAGTTTGACCCTGAAGAATATTACTGCCAGGGAAAATTTAGGAAAAGAGAGGGAGATAATGAATATTTCTGAATGTTCAGAGAATGTACTCTAGGTATGGCTATTTGACAGGAACAGTTGGTATCCAGGGAAGATAGCAACAGGTAAGACTGTAAATCAGCATTTGAAGGCTTCCAATTCCATCATGTTAAAGAATTTGGAACTTTATCCCATAGGGTGATAGTCATTGAAGAGTTATAAAAGCTAGTTGTTAGGTTCTGTTTTTGAAAGGTAACTTTAGTTACAGTATGGAGAATAGATTAGGAACAGAATAATTTAGGAAGCTTTTTACCCTAATTTAGGGTAAAGATGATGCTCTGAGCAGAGTGAAGAGAGAAATTAGAGAAATATCTTTAAAAAATTGTTTTCAACAACTTTATGGAGGTATATTTCATATACCATAACACAGAAACATTTTAAAGATAGTATTATTCACCTCTCTTAATTCTTGACGGATTAAATAGGCAAAAGAGAATATACAAATGTCCAGTAAATAATTCCAAAATTCCCATATGGCTATAGAATATAGTTGTTGTCATGTTGTCTATAAAACGTTTAACTGGGAATGTAGTTTCATTATTGCCCAAGAAATGATCTCAAATAAGTTTAATGTTTGATTTGGTAAACACTTTAAAGTGCTTGGAAAAGGCATTTTGCATAGTAAAATTTATACTTTCAAGATATAAGAGTTTTGAACGATTAGATTCTCTTTCTATAAAGAGATTTATTTCATTGTACCTTTTCCTCAATAATCCTTTTTTCTATTTTTATAGAAAATGGTGATGTTTTATATGTTGTATATATTCTTACATAAAGACCAGACCTACTTAGATATTAGAATATCAAGAATTCTTAAGAGGGTATAAAGATAACTGGGAGATGACAAACTCCTCCGATTCTAATGAAAGGCACGGTAATCAGGGCATTTGCTTTACTGACATGATAATATTGATGATCAATGAATGCTGATGATGTGATTGCAGGTAAATTGGCAGGATGAGGAGCAGCAAATCAAAAGAGGTGCCTTTACCAAATCCAAGGAATTCTCAAAGCAAGGATACTGTTCAAGGTATGATTTGTTGTTGTTGTTTTTTAAACTGAACTTAACCCCTTGTTTAGGTCATATGTATAAAATTCTGGGCTAATCAATAAATGAAAATTATACATATGCTTTGATTTATAGAAAGTGGATAATTTTTTAAATTTAATTTTGTTTTAAAAATACAAGGGACCTCACTGTCAAAGTCATCCTATGGTAAACTGTTTTATAAAGTAAAAAATCCTTTTCAATAAAGAATCAGTATATGTAAAATAAGTTTTATACAATTTCTTAGAAATTCTGATTTAATGTCAATAAATGGTATACTATTGCCCTTAATATAGTTACAGACTTACACAGTACTCAGATAACAAAGTAATAGTCTCGTTGAATTTTTTTTTAATGATGCTTTGGGAGCAACTTTAGAGTATTATATATATATATATATATATATATATATATATATATATATATATTTTATATTTGCTTTCTTTATTGCAGTGGTCTGGAACTAAATCCACAATATCTCTAACTGGAACTGAACCCACAATATTCTCTTGACTTTAGTATATGTTTTAAAATTTCCATAATAAGAAGTTAAATACATTTTTAAAAATGAAAAAACACACAAATCACCTAAAAATGCTGTTTTTACAGGTATGCCTGTAATTGTTTTAATCTCTTTATTTCACCTCAAAAAAAGATAACAGATCATTCCCGCCTCTCCAATCTCCTCTCCATTTTTTTGTATCAATAAAATAATAGTTACTGAATAAAGACAAGAACAATCAGTGAGATTGTACATTGTCAGCGTCAGCATTCGAGATTTCTCTGTCAGTTGGGCAGGTGCTAAATGCCCACAACAGGACCTACTCTTTCACGATTCTGATACTTGAGATAACCCTTCTCTGGGTAGTATCTGTGAGTTTCAGCTTTTACCATCATACCTTTTCTGTCCTTTAATTGCTCTCAGCATTTTTAGGTGATTGGTGTGCTTCTCTCCTTTTTTAATTTTTTTAATTTTTTTATTGTTAGTTTCACGTGTACAGAACAATGCAATAGTTATCTTTTTCACCCTCACAAAGTAACAACCCCCCTCCCCCCATGTATTGCCCTCTCACCCCCGATATCATGCTTATCTATTACAATTCCATTGATTCCATTCCCACCCTCTTAGAATATGATATTTTTGAGAGACATTGACAAACTGGAGTACATTTAGTGGAAAATTATTGGGTTTGTGAGGGACCTGGAAATCATGTCACATGAGGAGCATTTGGAGAAAATGAAAATATTTATCCTAGAGAAGGATGACGCGGGAATTACATGGCCTTATACTATTTGAGGGGCTATCATCTGAAAGAATAAATAGATTTTACCTTTGTTTCTACTGAAAGATCAAAGCCTGGAATAGGTTTTCTAATCTTTACACATTATAATGTAAAATACAATACAATACAGAGTTTTGTATTTGTTCAGCTCATTGGGGTACATTGTTGGAGATGTCTGGTGGGCTGTGGGTGTGGGTTATTCCAGCTGTCATGAGGACTAAGGTGACCAGTGTCTGATACAACTCTAAACCATATACTGGGAGAAGAACCATGTTTTGACTCAATATAATACAACTTGCTGAGAAATAGTTCTGTCGAATGAAGTGGCTCTTAAACTTTTGAGTGCATTTGGGAGCTTATTAAAATGCAGGTTCCGAGGTCCACTGCAGAGATTCTGATTCAGTGAGTTTTGTTCCCCAGCAGATATAACCACATCGTGGGATGCACTTTCTCAGACCAAGGCTGCTGTAAGTAGTTATAGCTTCCCTTTATTTTTTTCTGGTTTAAAATTGATTTCCTGTTACGAGCGAATAGATTAAAATTTTTTCAATAGTGCTTTTCTGATAGAAAAAGAAATGTTTTAGCAGGAAGTTATATACCATGTATTACAAAATGAACATTAATGACAACTATTAAATAGTAAAAGAATAATCGAGACATTAGATATCAGGAACATTAACACTATGACATAAAATATTCAAATAATTTGTGTTACTTATTTTCCATTAATAAGTTTGTTCATGTGGGATGTTGACAAGAAGGTGAATTTGGGAAGGTGGGGTTGAGTCTGTGTGTGTAGAAGACTCAGCGGAAATGAAAGGAACAGCTACTTCCTGAATGGACCGTGAGTTACCCCTCCTTACAGTGGCGGTAAGGGACGGTTTTCTTTAGCACTGCTGAAGAGGAATGACTGTGTGCAGCCTAGTGTCACCTGTGTTCTAGCCCATCTTGTCTGGCGTCTAGGAATCCAAATTGGGCAAATGATGCATAGTCCTTTCAAAGGGAGACCCTTTCCTTTTTCATTTGCTCTCTCTGCACATCACTCTTCTATTAGGTCCTTTTTTGTTTTCTTTTGTCTCCTACCTGAATTTGAATCTCCTGTTTCTTTATAGTTTGAATATGGGATTTTCTGTCCCCTAAGCTTTTGAACTGGTTTGAAAATCAATCTGGAAAAGGTGCTATAACCTAGATTTGGTCATACTGCAGGGTCACATGTTGGCCCCATAAATACAGCAATCTATATTCTTTCTCTCCTGCATGAACATTGTGCATCTATTATTTAGGAATAGTTTCTATCCTCCAATTTAATGTAGAGCTAAACTAATTTAGAGCTGAACTGTTAGTAGTTTTTCAAAATGATTGGCTTTTCAAAAAAGAATTTTTAAGGATGATAAGGGCTCATAATATAAGTGGAGAAAGCCTGCTATAGAACTGTTAATATTATAGGATTATTTCAATTTTGTGAGTACATTGCACTGCAAAAATTTGAAAGAAGATAAATCAGAATTTTATACAAAGGTTTTATCTCTCTGTGGTGGTATTTTGATCATTTTAGCTTCATTTTTTTTTACACCTTTTCTGTTGTCTCCTGTTAGCACGTCATACTCTACTATTTAGGGGAAATTGCTTTTTAAAATCATTGAGAACTTTGGTGGTTATATCAAAAGTTGACTTATATTGTAAGGTGTATGGAAACCTGAATTCTGTGTTGTGATTTTGTCCTTATTGTGAAACTTATTTTATAGACGTAAGACTATAAAAAGTTGTGGCTATTTGAATAGTCCTAGGTTTTAGTCAAGCTGAATCGTTCTTTCCTCATTTTTGCATGTAAAATGCATGAGATATATGCATAATGATATGCAGAATATAATGTCAGAAGATGCACTGCTTTAAAAAAACTCAGCAATTAAATCAGTCAAGACAAATAGAAACTCTTTGATATTCTTCAGAATGTTTTTGATTTTCTTGTCTAAATTTGGGCAGCATTGTGCCAGCTGTTAGTATAGCTGAAGTAGTAAAATAAAGAAAAAACTATTCGTTTTGTTCATTATAGTAAAACAAAGTTTTTTCCACTTTGGAGAAAGGTATTGGACAATGTGGTTTTAAATAACTATGTAAATCGATGATAGCTGGTTTATTTACAGAATTAACCTATTTGTTGTGATGGTGTTTACTAACTTTAGCTGAGACACATTGAAAACAAATTAGAAGTAGCCCCTACAAGTACAGCTGTGTTTGATACTGTCATGGATACCAAGAAATCTGCAAGTGCTACCCGAAAAATAAGTAGGAAAGGTATGTATGCAGTTACTTCCAAAGATATAAATATATTAAGTATCAATTTTGATGTTAGTTTTGTTTCAGTTGAATTTCTTCTTAGAGTCCATGTACTTGCTCTCTTGTCAGAGACTTTACCCCCATAGCATTTAGGTTTTTGCCTTTGATACTCAGTAGTTAGGACACAGCCTCATATTCAGTGACTGTAGACAATGTCGTCCCATCTTTTGATCAGGGACTTTAGCACCACTGCATCACCTTTGAAGTGAGTTTTCATTTGTTTTTATTGATGACAGTTTGATCTTGAGCCTTTGGGGGTTATATATGTTTTTTTTTTTTTAATTTGCAGGTACAGTATATCACTTTGAAATTTAGTTGGCTTAATAAGATTTATATTTTTTGTTGGGGTTTAAAATCATAAATGGAATATCTATCTTAGAGATACTATCATAAATTTACACAATGCAAACATTTTCTTTGGTTACCTTTCATATATTCTGTGATTTCCTAATTAGTGGGCTAAAACTTGCAGGTTAGTATTTCCACTGAAACTGATTTTTTTTTTTTTAACCTGTGAGTCTGTTAGGTTTATCTGATACTTCTTTTTTGAGTGAGAGAGAGCCTTTGACAAAAAGAAATTTTATGTGTAATTTTATTTTGCATTATTTGACCAGATACAATCTTTCTCTATAGATTGAGTTACTGTAATAATTTAACCAGAATGTTTTCCATCCACTTACATAGTATCCAGCTAGAGATGCCAGAAATGATAGATACCTAAGTTATTTTCTTAGATACTAGCCACATTTGGAGACAATCGTATTTTATATCATATGTTCTCATAGGTTTCCTTTTCCTTCAGATGGTAGATACCTGGATGATTCTTGGCTTAATGCTCCAACCTCCAAATCTTCTAAATCACGAAAAGAGAAATCCCGTAGTCCTCTCAGAGCCACCACCCTGGAGAGTAATGTAAAGAAAAATAATCGTGTGGAGTTTCGTGAACCTTTGGCTTCTTACCGGTGAGTGTTTATTAAAAAAAATTATCAAATGGGGCCAACCTATAATATTTACAGTAAGATTATAGTTTATTTCTTGAGTTTTTCATAGTACCCTGGCTTCTTGTATTATTACCTTTTTCATTTTCCAGAGAAATAAAGCAAAAATCTTTTATATTATGAAATACTTACTTCCTACTCTTACAGATTAAATATTTGGGGGGAAGAAGTAGTAATATTTGCTCCAGGCCACTACCACCATTGTAATGTGTTTCCTACAGACAAATTACTCAGGAAGTGTCGCTTTTTTTCCCTTAATATTTTTTTCTTTTTTTTTCTTTTGGTAGCATGAATCAGTTACCTAAAATTTCTTCTTGCGAACGAATGTGAGTTTGTTTATTTGCTTACCTTTTTGCCAGTGGCTCCTTTCAGTGACTTATTCAATCAGATGTTCAAGCTTGATGTATGAATTTTGATAGTATGGATAATATAAACTGCTTTGTGTTTGTGTTAGCTGGTAATTTAGGATATTCAACCAATAAAATTATAGAATTTTGTATTTGAGGGACATTTTACTAATGATATAAATGTGTGCTCTTAGTATTAGCAAATAGTAATAAGTAATAAACACTGCACCTTACATTTCTTTGTTTCATTTATAAGCATTTTTAGTATTTTAAAGTGTCAATAAATCAAGGAGTTTCATGTTGGTGCTTGATAGTACTGGGTATATGTTTGTACTCTTAAATTTGAGGGAAAGAACTTGGGAGATGGAGGTAGATTACAAGTTCAGTTTTCATTATGTTCAATTTGTTGCAATTTTGAAATATTTAGGTGAAAATATTCAGTAGGCTTTTGAAAATTTGAGTAGGAATATGTGTGCAAAGGTTGGGGCTGGGAATATAAATTTAGGAGTTGTCACTAGTGTTAAAGTGATAAAAATGGTGAAGAAGAAAAATTGTAGAGAGAAGACCAGGACTTAATCTGGGTAAAAGTTTGTAGATTAGAAAAAAAGAGAAAGAAAAACTTTGAAAAATAATCAAATTTCAGAATCTTTAACCACAAAACTATTACACAACTTGCCCAGAAACACAGTCATTATCAGAATTGAAACTAAATTACAGGCTTTTTATTTTTATTTATTTTTAAAATTTTTTTATTGGGGAATTGGGGGATGGGAACAGCACTGGGGAATTGAGGAAGGGGAACAGACAAGTTGCTGTCCTTTTATTCTTCAGTCTGTTGTGGAGGACGTGGCTTCACTGGCCCAAGTTGGCACCATCATTGCGCTCTTCCCAGGCGAGGCAGATCAGTTGCCGGCTTCTGGACGGCCGCTCACACCGGCTGCTGGCTACACACGGTAGCCCATGGCAACCCACGGTAGCAGGGGCTGCAGCCTATGCCATTGCCTGCGACTCATGGCAACCCAACTCCAGGTTGAGCTGTTGTTCAGCATCTTAGCTGTAGAGGGCAATGTCACTGGCCCTCATATGTGGGATCCGAACTGGGGTCCTCTGGCGTCCCAAGCCAGCTCTTAACCAGTGCGCCACTCGGCCAGCCCAATTACAGGCTTTTTATATTCTAATATTTTTCCTGCTAAGAATACCTGATATTTAAAATTGCGTAAATTTTCTTTTAAGAAAAGAAAAAAATACCTACAGGATAGCTATGAATAGAGTGCCCTTCACCTGTCCGACTTCATTCATCCCTTCAAACTCATCTTTTCTCACCTGTATGAAACATTGTGAGATCTATTTCTATGCCACTCCATCCCCAGCTGATATAATCCTTCCTCTGTGCTCCTGTAATACTATGTAACTTTCTCTGTTAGAGCATTTTCATATTGCATTGTATTTTATTGAATTGGGGAATTGGGGGAGGGGAAGAGCCAAGTTGTTGTCCTTCAGTCTTAGTTGTGGAGGGCGCAGCTAGCTCAGCTCCAAGTCCAGTCACCATCCAGCTGCCTGTCAGCAGCTTGCAGCTGCTCAGCTCAAGGTGCCGTGTTCAATCTTAGTTGTGGGTGGGCGTAGCCCACCATCCCATGTGGGAATCGAACCCGGAAAGCTTGTTGTTAGGAGCACGTGCTGTCACCAGCTGAGCCATCCTGCTGCCTGTGGCAGCCCAGCTTGGGCGCAGCTCACTGGTCCATGTGGGAATCGAACCGGCAACCCTGTTGCTCAGAGCTCGTGCTCTTAACCAACTGAGCCACTCGCTTGGCCCTGCATTGTATTTTGGTTCCATAGCTACCCATTACATTCGTTTATGTAAGGCTGTAAATCTATCTTGTTCTCAAAGCATTGTCTTAATGCCTGTCATTTACTAAGTATTCCATAAATATTTTCCCCAACATTTTATTATGAAATTTTTCATATTTACAGTAAAGTTGAAAGAATTGTATAGTGAATACACTTATATATATATTTAGCAAATATTTAATGAGCAAGTGAATTAATTACTGAAATGTCTCCTCCTTCCCACCCTCCCTCCCTTCCTTCCTGTTCAATTGTCCTTCCCTTTTTAAGATGAAGCATGGTATGTAACCTACCTTTTTATGCTTTATTTTATTCTGCACATGTGCCAATTTTAAACCTAAATCATTTAGACTGTGAATTGTTACAGTCAAGATAATGAAAATAATTGTACTTAGTCTTGATACCTAGTGGAAGCGACGGGACTCAGTTCTCAGCCCACTCAGAACAGGGTTTGATGTCTTCTGGGTCATGGACCCCAGTGAGAATCTGATGAAAGCTGTAGACTATCTCCTTAGAAAAATGCAAGTACTCATATACTCACAACAGACATAATAGATACAGATAGCATATTATGCTGTAATGGAGTCATGGCTTTAAGGATTTTTGTGATAGCGTTTTATGCCTTCACATGAACTGTGCCGTACAGTAGATCCATTAATGTGAGCACACATGTAATGCAAACATTTTTAGTAGTCACATACACATACACCCAAAGGTGTCTTCCATTCTTTTTGTTATTGTTGCGTTAAATCTGTAGAATTCGGCATGTGATTTATGTTGCCGCACATCACAATGTGGACTAGCCCCATTGCAGCTGCTCAGCAGCCACGTTGGCTGATGTCTGCTCTTTCAGACATTGCAGGGCCCCGTTGTGGTTATGTCTCCTTTTCAATTTTGTTGGTTTGTTTTTTCATGATTCATGTGCCCTTCTTACTGCTGAGGCTTGTATTCATTAACCTCGCTTTTTATAAACTGCTCTTCATAAAGTATAACTTATTAGAATGATGTATAACATAAAAATAGTGTCTGAAGGGAGACCTTTGCTAGAGTTTTCATGAATAGAGAGTATGGACTTTGTGGTAATGTACTTTGGCTGTGGGTCTAGTCTTTTTGCTTACTCCAGAGTTTCTAGATATGCTTTACATAGTTCGAAGCTGCCCCAAAAGTGGTCTGTGGTTCAGAGAGGTTTAACTTTACTAACCACGTTTATTTGGAGAAAAATATTTATTGTACCTTCACTTTATTTCTTCTCCCATCTATTTGTTAATTTGGTGTGTTATTTAGAAGTTACACTTGTGAAATGCCAGCATTTGAGAACTTTTTTCCCCTAGTACATAAGTTTCATAAAGAAGTAAAATGTACATTTTGGTAAAAGGTGTCAAGTGACTATCCAAAGTCAGATTGTAATCCTATTTTCTGGGGTTCTTAAGGAAATCTCTCCAAACATCTTTTGCATTTTTCTTATTTTATAATATGCAAATTATGACTTAGAACTTGATAGAGGGGCCATTGAGCATTGAGTCTTAATATTAGTAGTGGTTATTTTATTATTTTTAACCTACTGGAATTTCTCCTTTTTTCTTATTTTTAGTCTCTAATGTTAACTTAAAGTTATCCATTTGTATGACTAGTTTCAGTTTGACTGGTTTTTGTACTCTTTATTTAAAGCTTGCTATTTTTTGATAATAGGGAAATTCATGGCACAACTTCCAATATAAGTCCCAGCCCTTTAGAGTCAAAGCATGGATATTGTGTGGATGTTAACGAAGAAAAGCCTGAGAATAGGAACCGGATGATAAACAGTCAAGAAGAACGGAATATGTGTTGCTGTGATTTTGAGGGTTCCCAATCATCTGTCATCAATGATACTGTGGTTAGGTTTTTAAATGATGGACCAGCAATTGATGCACTGCAAAATTCTGAATGTTTGATGAAGATGGCAGCTCCTATGAGAACTGAGGAAGAAAAGCCTAATAGAACAAAAGGAAATGAGAACAATTTGAAGGCTTCTGTCAGTAACATGGGCCATGATATTGATCCAAAAGTGTTACGGCTAACCGACTCTTCTCCATCTTCTACTAGCACTTGTAATTCCCAAAGATTAGATATCTTAAAACGGCGACAACATGACATCAAACTGGAAAAACTCAAGGAGCGGATTAGGAAACAGTGGGAACACTCAGAAGAAACAAATGGCCGGGGCCAGAACCTGGGTCCTGTTGACCACCCAGTAATGGTTATTAATGTTGACAACTCAGTGACAGCAAAAGTCAGGAAAGTGGCGGCAGCACCACCTGCTCCAGCATATAAAGGTTTGTAATCATCAGCCTTTGTATCTTCCACTTTCTTTCTGCCTCCTTGTTACCCCTTTTCCTAGGATGTATTTGAGAAGAGATGATCATTTTTAGAACGGAGTGTGATTCTCAAATCAAATGCCTAAGAAATCAATTCAAGGTGCAGGTGAAAAATGCAGATTCCTGGATCCGACACTAGACCTAAATCAGAATTTCTGGGAATAGAGTCCAGAATTGGAATATTTAACAAGGCTATTAGGAGTTTCTTATAGTTTATGAACCACTGTATGAACATTTAATAAGTTGAACAAAAGAGGGAATAAAGACTAGTACATTTTCAGAAAACTGAAAGAATGTTGCTCTTACTCTGTCATTGTACTTGGATTGTGATTATGAATTCTTTAAAAAGTAATATTTAAAAGATAATCTAAATTCCAGTTAATATTTGGTTACAGAATATTTTGGCACTGACATTTGGCTCCTGTTGTTATTTTAACTTTCAGTTTTTACCCTCCTGATTATGAAAACAAATATTTAAGTTGAATTTGTACCAACATTGATAGATTTCCATTGAGAAAATTCCTTTCAGAGAGAAAGCCATTTCCTTTCTCTTCCTTTTTCAGCCAGTCAATTTTTTATATATGATGGTTTTAAGGAGTTTGTATTTTTATGTTCCTGAAATTATTTTCACAGGGTCATCCATGTAATGTTTTAAATAAAGAGTTGATTCATTGATCATGTTAGTCTGTGTTAGACTTTTGTCATTAAAACTTCTGCCATTGTAGTCTTTCTTTTGTGGATATTTTTCCAAGTTCAGATTTAATTGTATGAAGATCGAAATATTGTCAAGGTTTGTTTCTTCTGTTACTTTTAAGTTATTAACAAACTAGGAAATTTTTTGTTGTAGTCAATTTTATTTTGTATTTTTATATTAAGTCTAAGTTTTCTCTGACACTTTTGTAGTTTTTTATAGTCCTAAAGTTCCTTTAGTCATTTTTGTCTGCAGAACAAATTTTACTGTGTACAGTTTGAGCAATTATCAGTTTTATTTTGTGTTGCTTATTATGTTTTGCTAGTGATACTCATTGTGAATTAGATAAAAATAGGTAATTTGCATCTTATTCTACTTAATTTGTGATAAAATTGAGAGCAGTTCCCTTTAAATACAGAAAAAAATTGCTCTGTTATCCATGATTGGTCTAGCGTATTATTAATAAAATTCTTTTATATCTTTTTAGTTATTTGTGTACCATGTAATAATTGCCCGCACTGTTGACAGAACAAATAGCAAATGGTGGGGTCAAAATGTTCTTGTTGGTTTTGAGATAGTGATTATTCAAAACTTTTGCTATACTTATATCAGACCCATGAAATGTAGATTGTACATTTAAGGTTTGTTCATTCTAGAAGTTAGAAGTTCTCAAATTCCAAAGTTATTCCAGTGAGGCAAAGTTAAGATGGTCAATTTGTATCCATATTTTATTTAATAATTTATCAGAATCTAAAAAAAAAAACCCCAAAACAAAAAAACCTAAAGAACTGGAGAAAAATCTTAAATATAACTTCCCCTGAGTTGGTGACTGGACTTTGCATATTCCTTTTACTTACTAATTTTTTAACGTGCTAGTTTTCATATTAACATATTTTATAAATACAACTTTTGGGTGGGTTAATTTATGAACTGTAGCATATATTAGAGAAATTATAACAATGTGGTTTCCAGTGTCATAAGCAATGGGATTTATTTTTCCCAACAGTGAAGAACTGTTTTTCTGCCAACTTCTTGGCAGTGTAAAATTAAAAGCATTCTAAAGTGGCAATTTTATTCGTCTGAATACGTAATAAATTCACTTGGTTCAGAAGTCAAAAGATGAAAAGGGTGTACCTGCCAAAGCTCTTGTGCGCCGACCACTGGGACCCCTTTCTGGAGGTTACTTGTGTTAGCGATTCGTGTGGCCTTCCAGAGGTAATTTTTGCATACACCGTAAATGAGAGAGAAGTTATTGATTTTCTTTCTCTTTCTATACGGTTGTTAGCATAATAAACGCATTCTAGACCTTGGTTTTTCATTTATGTTTTTGTGTACTTTAAGTGTTCTATGTGCTTTAAAATTTGAAATACTGAACAGTGTTTATGTGATTTGTTCTTGTCTTAATACTTGGTTGTTTGCATGTCTTTTTTTTCCTGGTGTAAATGCTCCTAAAGGTTAAGAGCCTATATTGGTCACCCTTATTTTATTTCAGGGCTTAGTACAGTGTCTTGGACTTAAATAGGTGCATAGTGAATTTTTTATTCTATTTAATGAATTCAACTACGAAGAGAAAAAGGAGACAATAGAAATAAAGATTGGGGGATAGAGAGAGAGACTGATGTAGATGCTGAAAGCTTCTTAAAGTCAACTTATTAAATAAAGATGCAAATACAAGGAGAGGCTCCCGTAAGCGATAAAGGTCTCCTAAAGAGGAGAGGAGAAAAAATAATAGGGTGTATTGTAGAGAGATGGGATGGGGGTGATGATGAAATGTTGAGAGAGAGAGATTTGCATGGAATTACCACACTTTCTTATGACAAACTGTAGTTTGCAAGAACACTACGTTTATACATTTTTTTCCTTATATAGGTATAGGCATAATTGTGTGCTCTGTGCCACAAATGTCAGGTGACATTAAGTTTATGTTATTGTGCCTAAGAGCTGAGTAGATTATTTTCTATTAGACATGTAATTAACTTGCCGGTACAATTTAACACCTCTGAAGTGCTTTTACCAATTTTTGATCCCGGCTTATTCTTCATATTGATTTAATTTTGCATGTATTTATTGACTGCCAAGGTTTTGAGAAGTTGAGCCATCTGAAAATGTAAATCTTTATACTACTCTGGTTATCATCATATTCATTATTTTATTTTATTATTTTGTAAAACAACATTCCAAGTTCACTGTATTTCTTAAAGAGGAGTGATAAATTTGAATTGGGATATCAGAATGGCAATTCCTAGGAAATAGCACATGTGTAATGTTGGTTGAGAAATTGAACAAATATGTTTAAAGACCTGTTTTTCACACTTTGGGTGCATTTTGCCTGTGTACGCAGGAGCGTGTCCATTTGTTCAGCCATAGGCCAAATCAGGCAGATGGTAGCAGTGAGTGCCTATCTTCAAAGTAAAGAAGAATAAGTGGTGCGGTCTCTCTCTCCGTCTTGAGAAGGCTAGTTTGTATCTCAAATTTGTAATTTGTGATTAACATTTTTTTATCATTTAATTTAGCATTTCTCCATTTCCAGTCTTTTTGGACAAATGTATATTGCTTTATCTCACTGAAGCTTACCTTTCCCAAATAGTGTTTATCAACACATTATGTAGTAGCTAATTATGCATCCCTCTTTTTAAAAGCTTATTAAGCTGCTCAAAATCATTAGTTATTAGAGAAATGCAAATCAAAACCACAGTGAGATACCAGTTCATACCTACTAGGGCAACTATGATAAAAACGACAGACAATAACAAGTATTGTTGAGGATGTGGAGAAATTGGAGCCCTCCTATGTTTCTGGTGAAAATGTAAAATGGTGCAGGTACTTTAGAAAACAGTTTGGCAGTGCCTCAAAAAGTTAAATACAGAGTTACCATATGACCCAGCAATTCTATGTCTAGGTATAATACCCAAGGCAATTGCAAACATACGTCCACACAGAAACTTGTGCACAAATGTTCATAGCAGCATTATTAATAATAGATGAAGAATAGAAGCACCCCCAATGTGCATCAGCTGATGAATAGATAACAAATGTTGGTATATCCATACATTGGAATATCATTTGACAGTAAAAAGGAATAATAGCTTTGATACATGTTATCCAGTGGATGAACTTTATGCTAAGGCAAGAAGCCGGACACAAAAGGCCACATTATATATTTCTTTTTATATGAAATGTCCAGAATAGACAAACCCATAAAGATAGAAAGTAGATTGGCAGTTGCCAGTGAATACACACAGTGGTGTACGAGTGACTGCTGGTGTATAATGTACACGGTTTCTTTTCGGGGCTATGGAATGCTCTGCAATTAGACAGCGATGACAGTTGTCTAACTGTGAATACCCTACATACCACTGAATTGTACACTTTAATTAAAAGAGTGAATTTGATAGTATGATCTTTATATCTCACTTAAAACAGTATAACAAACAAAACTTATAAAGCACTGTTGATAAGAATATTCTGTACTGTTGGTATACCTAGGCTTCAATCCTTCAGAGACCAAGATTCGAACCCCTGACGGCAAAGTGTGGCAGGAGGCTGAGTTTCAGCACATGAGCAGAGAGCTGTACCGAGACTTAGCACTTCACTTTGCAGGTGAGAGGAGAGCTTTCAATGGTTCTGGGTGTTTTATCAGGCATGCTGTCTACCTTATAACATTTAAACGTAAAATTCTCACCAAACTAAACCCCGTTCTAACTGGTATGCGAAAGTTGTGGTGGCTTCGGTCAGAAGACTCTCTCAGCCACTCGGCTCTGCTCCAGGTCTAAAATTAGCATACATGGCTGATGTGACAGAAAGGAGGCTATTTTTAAGCTGAGGGACTTGACTTTCAGAGTAAGGCCTGTCTGATTGCAAGGAAATACAGCCGAGTCTAGCTGAAGTTCACTGCTACTTGACCTCTGAGATCTTTGAAATGGTCAGTAATTTGGCAGGCGTACTAATGTGTGGGCAAAATGCAGAAAGCAAAATGAACATTATAGGAAGGGAGTAATGTTAGAGAATTAGAAATATGCGGAACGTAAGGAAGATTGGAAGAGGGAAATAGGAAGGTCATATTCATAACGTTACTACACATTAAACACCTAGTATGATTTTGGACAAGATGCTGGGTACTTAATGTTTGTAGTTTTGTGTATTTAAGGACATTACTTTAGCCCTTTTTCCTTTCTTTTGCATCATTAAGTTTTCCCTCTCTACAAGGTCATGCCTATTAAAATACTGTGTGATAACATGCTGCTATCTCAGCCATCATGAAAGAACCCCTCTTTCGGCCCTACTCTCCAGCTACTGCCCTGTTTGTCTCCTGTTTATAGCAAAACTTCGGAAAGTTGCCTTATAGTCATTGTTGCCAATTTTTCTCCTTCCTTTTACTCTTGAATCCTTTCTACTAGGTTTTTGCTCCTACTTCTTTGTGGACTGCTGTTACCAAGATCATCGGTGACTTCCATATTGCTAAATCCAGGGTTTACTTGTCATCTTACTTGATCTCTCAGCAACACTGGACTTGATTGACCATTTGTTCCTTGAAACCCTTTGCTTGACATCTCAGATACCATCAGTGTTTGGTTTTCGTCCTAAGTCTAGCTGCTGCTGTTCAGTTTTTTCCCTAATCAGCTTCCTGATTGCTACACGCTGACATGCCCGTTCTCAGTACTTGGACCTCCCTGCCTCCCTCTTCCCCTCCCTTCCTTCCTTCCTTTTTTTACTTATCTACATACAAGCTACTGCAAGCTCATCTAGTCTCAGGGCTCTAACTAAATATTTGTTGTTGCCAGTGATTCCCAGATTTATGTCTCCAGTCCAAACTTCTCTGAACTCAGACTATTATATCCAGCTGCTAATTCCACATCCCCCTTCGAATGTATAATAGATTTCTCAAGCGTAATATATCCCAAATGGAGCCAACTAACTAAACGGGGTCACTATGCACCCCTTAAACCTACTCCTCTGGTAGCCTCTCCGTCTCAGATAATCCTAACCTACTTGTCCAGGCCCCAGATCTCAGGCCCCTTGGTCATCCTATTTCTCTCATACCTTGTATGTAATATTGTGATATTTTAGTGTAATCTAACAACTTAGCCCACATCTGTCACTACCACCTATGTCCAAGCCACCATCAGACTCTTGTCTGGAGTATGGCAGTAGCCTTTTTTTTTTTTTTTGTGAGCTGAGCCATCCTGCCACCTGTTGGCAGCTCAGTACGGCAGTAGCCTTTTAACTGGTCTCTGCTTCTGCTCTTCTTGGAATGAATCTCCTTTCATTACAACTGCTAAAGTAAGCTTTTTAAAATTTAATTGGGATTCTATCACTCCTTTGCTCAAAGTCTTCCAAAAACTTCCCATCTCATTCTGGAATAAAACCTGAAGTTCTTACATTGACCTTTAAAGCCCTACGTGACCTCAGTTATGTGTCTGACCCTGGTTCTCACTACTCTCCATTTCATGCACACGGGCCTCCTCCCGTTTCTTAGACACTAGGTTTGCTCTTGCCTTAGTTCCTTCAGCTCATCCTTACTTCCACTTTGCCCAGAATGCAGAGCTTTATATGTATTTTAAAGTACATTTATTCACGCTTATAATTGAGGCTAATTTTCAAATTTCTATATATAGTCAGTATATTCCCCTAGATTGAAATTTAAAAATTCAGCGAGTAGTAATTTATATGTGAAATACCTTGACATATTTCACTAGTATAACCATAAAAGGGCCTAATTTAGGAATATTGAGTATTTTATGGAGCTTTATCCTAGAAGTTCATGAATACTGCAGTTAAGTAGGAATTTTTAAATGAAATTGGAGTCTGGGAAAATGCTCACCTCTGAGATTCTGTAGATCTGGCTTGGAAAGCGTTACTGTTGCAGCTTCTTCCAGTTTGTAAAAACGAGGACAATTTTTCAAGGGTTTCCTGGGGGGTGGGTGGGGATGGGGTGGGGTGAGGGGAAGCAATAAAAATAAATTGGAACCAAACAGTGGAGTGGTGGTAATGTTTAGACCTTTCCATAAGTAGACTTGGCATTAGTGCCTTATGGGTCATATTTGAAATAGCCTCAGTGAAGGTTTCTTTCTCCTCAACTTGAATCATATCCTTTATACTCATTTTTCGTACTGGGGGTAGGGTGAGTGGGTGAGTAGGCATCATTGTAATATTTGCTGTAAATGTTTCTGCTTTTCAGATGGCATCTCTATGAAAGCGAAACCTGCTGATAAAAGTAAAGAGAAGAAAGTGGTCAAGCCAGTACGAAAAGTCCAAAAGGTAGCACAGTTATCAAGTCCAGAATGCAAAACAGGTCAGTTTTCTTAATATCATGTATACCTAAAGTTTCGAATTACTGGCATCTACATGGAAATAAACGTTTATTAACCAGATGTTCTCATTGTTTGGCACATACAAAAATTCCATACATTTTATGTATCATTATTTTGTGTGTATGTATTTTATTGAGGTACAATTGACATAGCATAAGCTATGCATATTTAGAATGTATAGCTTGATCAGTTTTCATATATGTGTATACCATGCAACCATATGTTCACCATCATACTGAACACATCTATCACTTCCCCCAAAGTTTTTTCTATTGTTTTAAATAGAAATTAACCAGATTAAAGGTAATGATTTTTATGTAGTGAACTTTTATTTATTTATTTTTTTATGCTGAGCCATCCTGCCACCTATTGGCAGCTCAGCAGCTGCTCAGCTCGGGCCGGGACTCAAACCGCTGTTGCTCAGAGCTCAAACTCTTGAGCGAGCTCTTAACCAACTGAGCCACTCGGCCGGCCCTGTAGTGAACTTTTATATACAAAGGGATTGCTTTATGACTGTGACTAAGTCCCTTTCCTTATTCTTATAAGAGAAGACATGTTGCTCAAGGGAAGAACGGCAGTCCGTGCCCGTGGTGGTCAGGCTGGGCTCTGAATAGGTCAAGACTGGGAGAAAGAGGGTTCCCGAGTTCCATAGTGATCAACATGTCCGGCCCAGTCCAGAGTGCCTGGATTTAAAACATAGCTTTGTGCTTTTGGTAGATGAGTTAATTTTAGTGTCCTTTGGTTTCCCCATATGTAAATTGGGAGAGAAGTAGTACTTCTCCCAGGGTTGTTATGAGAACTAAAATAGGTAATACCTAAAAGTACCTAATGTAGTACCTGGCATCTGGTAAGCACTGAAATTGTTAGGAATGATTGCATTAATAATAATTATTCTTTCTGGCTGTACTGAAAATGGCTGTTTAGTATGTCATATTCATGTCAGTGAGTAAGTTGGGCCAAAAGTGAGTGGAGAAAGTTGGGAACTTGGCACTTTCAGTTTGGAGACATTCTGAATCAATCATTCACACATTCATTTATTATGCAAACATTTTTGAGCACTTGCCATATGTGAGGCATTGTGCTGTACTAAGCTTAGGAATACAGTGGTAAGCAAGATGCAGGTAGCCCCTGCTTTCCTGGAGCTTATAATCTTGTCAGGAAAGTAGTGGATGCGTTGTTAGGATAAAGGATGATGAATGTGCGATAGGGGATGTACAGAGTCTTATGGGAACAAAGAGCAGGAGTGATGGGGCACTGGCTTTTGACCAGGCACTTGGTTTTCTCCTCATAGACTACTCAGTAGAATGGCAAATAACATTTTGTAACTTCCGTTGTTAACTCTCAATGTTGTTTTATGCATAAGAGAAGAGAATGACTTTGGCTATGTACAAATAAATAAAATTTTATAGGTGCATGAATTATCTGAATGTAAACTAAACTAATTCTTACCTTTAAAAAATGTGTTATTTTTCATGTGATACTATATAACACTGTTGTCAGGGGCATAGTTCAAAACGAAGCACTGGGAGCACTCTAACTTATGAACACTGACCTTAGATTGTTATTTGCCCAGTTTCGTGGTAGGCTAATTTCCATGTATAAACTGTGGTAATGACCAAGACAGAGAGTCATTAGATGTGCAAGAGCTATATTAATAGTATGTCTGTAGTGAAAGTCCTCTTCTACCAATGACGGCATGAGACTATTCCAGAAAGCCAGAATTTAGACATAACCACCCAGCATATTCAGAAGCCAACATTTATAAATAACCCAGTATGCACATGGTTACTTGCTTTTCATTCAGAAAATTAAGCTGAAATTGAAGAAAAGCCCGTTCTCTCATTTTGCTTAAGAACATAAAGTTTCTTATAAATAGATTGAGCAGTAGACTTAAAACCTTTTAAATATTTTAGATAGATTATTTAAGATTAATAACAAGGTACAAAAATATTTCTTTTCTAAATTAAACCACACACATTTATAATTCATGTATCTTTATAATAGATGTTTTTATTAAAACTGCTTACATTTAAACTTTTAAGAGCCCTTTTTAAAGAAACTAAATGGAATGTCTTTTATGATAAATATAATAAAATAGCATCACAGACTTGAAAAATAGAAGAAAAAAATACAGTATTAGTATTATTTTGTATACTTCCTTAAAATAGTTTTAAAATCATAATAGTATGTGATTCTAATCAGTGTATACATAAAATTTCATCTTTTTCTCCTAGCATCTTTCCATAAGAACATTGGTTTGTGTTACTTCTTATAGAAATGGTAATTTTAAATGGTCACACAGCACTCCATCTAGTAGAAACATAGCTTATTAACCATTCACCATTCTTCAATGTTTAGGTTACTTCTGATGTTATGAAAAATGATAAAGTGAACATTTTCATTTATTTTTCTCTTTCTTTTGAATTATTTCTGTTAGATACAATTCTTTTGGATTATTTGAGCAAGGTGAATAAGCACTTTTGGGGTTCCTGGAACTTTTGTTTTTGTTTTTAAAAAAGACACTATACCCACTTAATATTTCAACAAGCAAGTAGAACGCTTTTGTTGTAATTTTACCAACAGTGGCTATGAATGTAAAAATATATTTTTCTAATTTAATTAGGTCTAAAGTACTACTTATTATTTTCATTTTCATTCCATTTCTTACATCACTTTGCATTTAAATACTTACATATTTATTTCATATTTATTTTTTATGGTTTTTATTTGATAAATAGTCTTATGTCATTCACTGTTTTATAAGTTACTGTCTATTTTGAGATGATGGTCTAATTTTAATTTTTTTTCCAATCTGAAAATAGTAAATGAAACGATTTTCTCCTGGTAAACAGAATTTATTGGAATATTTTTTTATTTTTATGAACTTTTATAATTAGGGCAGTTGAAAATGTTGATGATCTTTGTTTTTTGAATGTCATTGTTTTATGCATAGTAAAATATTGTGTAGTTTTGGTATATATCTGTAAAATATAATGTGAAATTTTCTGAAATACCATCCCCTCCAAAGGTAATCACTGTTAACTGTTTGTTATATGTTATATATTTCCTCAGTTTTTTTCTGTGCTTGGATTGTTATTTGTTTGTTCAGCAAACATACATTTTACTATGTGCCAGATACTGTGTTCGTATTGGTAAACCAAACATTTATCATAGTTAGGACATATTTTTGTTTTGTGCCAAAATTGTTGGATTCAGTGCCCTAGTTGTTGGGGTTAACATTTGATACCCTTCATTTTTCACTTACTTGAGGTATGTGGGTAAATCAAGATATAAACAAACTATTCATTGATTTGGGGGACTTAGGGTTAAAAATAAAAGTAGATTGTAAACCTTTTGACTTTGGCATAAGATAAGCGTAAGATTATTAGAAAACCTATGTTTGAATAGATATACTTAGAGCTAAAATTTAACTTTTAAGTTCAACTTTCTCTCTCTCTGTCCCTCTCTCTGTCCCTCTCTCTCCCTCTCTGTCTCTCTCTCGCTCTCTCGCTCTCGCTGTGTGTGTGTGTGTGTGTGTGTGTGTGTGTGTGTGTGTGTGTGTGTATTTTAGGTAGTAGTCGTCTGATAAGTACATCATCTTGGAGAGATGGACAAAAATTAGTAAAGAAGATTCTGGGACCTGTGCCCAAAATGGATCAAAAAGAACGAAGAACAGCATCAAGTGACAGAAGTGGAAGAGAAAGAACTACTAAGTCTGGTAAATAGTCAAATTATTGAATTATCTCAATAATTAAAATTGAGAAAAACAATGAAAAGTTGCTTGTGTAAGTACTTAGAGAAGGTGAAAATACTCTTTTTGAGAATGCTTTATGACTTCGCTTTATAATTATGAATGTAGCTCAAAAAAGAAAACATGTTCTATTGGGTTGTCTATGGATAATTTCCATACATAGGTGTTATGGTGATCTTTATTAAGAATTCTGTTTATGTTATATTAATTACATTTAGCCCTCATTGTGAATAGCAAAGCATCATTTAATCATGTATTTTTAGACTTAGGAACCGTAAGAGAATCAAGTCCAGTTCTTATCATCCCTATATACAGAAACACAGGCACACATCCACAAAGTTGACTTTTTTTATTTGGCAGATTAGAAAACAGATTTTTCTAATCTGAAAATCTAAACAGATTTTCTAACCTGAGAGAGAATCGATTTTTCTCAAAGGTGGACAGTACAGTGGCAAAATTTTATCAAAGATCCACAGCTCTTTATTTTGATCCTCAATTCCATTACTTTTCTCCTTTTGAAATGTTTTGAATGCTATTTGAAATAATTAGTTACTTTTTTATGAACACTAACTTTGGGAAGTGACATATAAATATACCTACAGGCCAGCTTTCCTTTTCAGCAGCAAAATTTGCCTTAATTAATTTGAACTTCTGTAATGGATTCAGTATGAAATGCAATTGCAACTATAATCTGGAATACAGAAGTTAATATATACTTGGTATTTTCTTCACTTTCACTTAGCTTGCAAATAAACTCATGTGCATTCTCAGTATTAAATTAAGCCATTCCAACAATTATCTAGATGATAAAATGATTATTTTCCTGTATATTTAATTTTTTCTGTCATTCATTGGAGAGTTGTGGCAGCTTAACATTATTGGTTTTTTATCAGCTGTTTTGGGGTTCTAGGGAGGGAGAGAAATAGTAACATTACATATACACGTGAGAGAGAAATAGTAGTTCCCTATTAATAGTTAAATATTCACATCAACAATAAGATTTGTCTTTGTTTCAGAAATACTAAAAGATGCATTTTTTCCCATATGCCAAGGAAGCGTAGTGTTTCAGAATATTGAAATTCTTCTCTTACTGCTAAAAAAAAAAAAAAAAAAATTTTTTTTCTTTCCTTTTATGATATTCTTCAGAAGACTTTATATGATATTTGAATTAGAGTTTAAGATAAAGCGAAATTCCCTAATTTCTTTCTTAGTGTGACAAATCCTAGCAATGAACGTAGAATTTTAATGCCTCACTAACAGCTCCTCCTTTGCAGGGGGTCATATTGGAAGAGCAGAATCTGATCCCAGGTTGGATGTTTCACATAGACATCTTCTGCGAAACTCAGAACGTTCCAGAAGTAGAGCTCGGTCCGAAAATAATATCAAGAAATTAGCTCCATCTCTTCCAGATGATAAACAGGAGGAAACGACCGCCTTAAATAAAGACTTTCTACCTGTTGAAATTCGTGGAATTCTTGATGACCTGCAGCTGGACTCCGCAGCTCCGGCTTCAAGGCAGGAGATGGGAGAGTTACCCAGTCAGAAGTCACCAGTGCCTGTCCAGCCTCCTCGGAGTCACAGCCCAATCAAAAGAAAACCCGACAGAATAACAGCCAACGAAGACCCCCCTGTCATTTCTAAGAAGCGCCACTATGACACAGATGAGGTCCGGCAGTACATTGTTAGACAGCAGGAGGAAAGGAAGAGGAAGCAAAATGAAGAGAAGAAGGCGCAAAAGGAGGCCACGGAGCAGAAGAACAAACGACTACAGGAGCTCTACCGGAAACAGAAAGAAGCCTTCACTAAAGTGAAGAACGTGCCTCCTCCTCCTGAGCCTTCGGCAGCGAGGCGGCTGCAGGAAACCTACTCCAAATTGCTGCTAGAAAAGGCCTTGCTTGAGGAGCCAACTCAGCAGCATGTTGTGCAGGAAGCACAGGTAATAGGCGCGGAAATACAAAGGGAAGCCATTTATGGTTAGGAGCAGTTTATTTGCTCTACTATTGAAAAATGACCAAGCATTCCTGATATTCAGATGTATGCTCAGACAGTATTTGAAATAATGATGGCCTTTCATGAAGTTTATTACATATGAAGAGTAATTCAATAAATATGATTGAAAGTAAGTGGTCGGAGTTTCCGAGAGTGATTGTTACTGATCTCTGTTCATGTTATCATTGCTATTAGTTATATCCTCGCCTAGTTGTCATTGTATTATTGAGCAAATAAAGTTAGATTAGAATGAAAAGTCTAGTTTTGTGATCTGTGCTGAAATTAGAGAATATCCTAGTGTAGTGTGATAATTTTATGAGAATAGGTAATGTTTTAAGAATAATAGTAACATTAAGTACGTACCATGTGTTTTAAAGATTTTACAGGGCTTAAGCTTCAGTAAATTTTCACAACCCTGAGGTGTAGGTACTACTAGTATTTCTACTTATCAGATAAACAACTGAGGTTTAGAAAGAGTATTCCTCCAAATTATGCAGTTAGCATTAGGTGCTCCTGTTGGATTTCATTCGGATGTCGCTTTGCTGTTAATTGTATTGGCTGTTTTTAAGACAAAGTAAGTTTGAATTGGCTTTATTTGAGAGAAAAAGCCCTTACGTTTTGTGGTCTTCGTAAAGTTGAAATGACTTAATGTTTGTCTCATGTCATTCTGGAATATATCTTTGTCATGGGAGTCAGATGAATTTGACGTCCTTTTCTCCTAGACCAGGCCAGGGTATCAGCCATCTGGAGAATCTGATAAAGAAAACAAAGTGCAGGAACGTCCCCCAAGTGCATCTTCCAGCAGTGACATGTCTCTGTCAGAACCTCCACAGCCTCTTGCAAGGTAAACGGGAAGATGGAAGATGATGAAGGTTCTTTCTTTCCGTGAAATTTAGTATAGTGGTCTATGCTCAGTTAAGTCATTGTGTTGATGGACCTTCTGTGTGAGCAGGAGGTTTATTTAGAAATTGGTTAATTTCTTCCAGTGGATACTTAAGCATCTGTACTTACTGCATCCCCTGTTCTGTCGTTCAGTTTGGACCTGTCCTTTAACATCCAGTGTAGATGTCCATTTCTCCTGGGGATCACCTGCAGTTGGAAGCACTCTTGCTCTGAACTAAACACAAAATAAAAGTTTATTGGATGAATGAATCACAGTGAAATTCAGTATTTGTGGTGAATAATTTTCAAGTCATTTCTGTATCCATTGTTATTTGAATAACATATTTCTTCATATGACTCATATCAATTTATCCATCTTATCTCTCTTCAAAGGCTATATTTAGATAAGCATGTGTACACATGAACAAGGACTAGGAAGGGATTTGATATGACTTCAGATTGGTGATTGATGACTCTTTTACCTTAAATTTTCTTAACTTTTTTTTGCTGTAATATCTTGTTTGCAGTAAATTAAAAAACTGTGCAGGGAAGTTAAGGTGATTTTGAGATTACATGGTTATAAATTATACTTTAAAATAATCATTTTGAGAAGAGAAAGATTTTAAAACTCTCCTTTGAGAATGCACAAATAAAAATCATACCACTTTCCAATTTTGGGTTAATATCCACAAGTCCCCCCTCTCCCCGGAGAATAGTAACACACTGATAAAAGTAGCTCAAATTTATTGAGTACTTGTTGGGTTCCAGGCACTGATCTAAGTACTTTGCATATATTATTTTATTTTATCCTTGTTATTCCCGTTTTACAGAAGAGGTAATTGAGGCATAGAATTTAATTACCTTTGTCAAATATCAAAACATTAGTGGTAGAGTTGGATTTGAACTTAAGCATCTGATTCTAGAGGCCTGAGCTTTTAACCACTCTATACACTGCCTTCCAATAAGTGAAATGCTTCATATGCTTTGTTTAATGTTGTCAGTACATTTCAAATTTTAAGCATAAATAAAGTGAAATCTTTTTTAAAATTTAACTACCTTTTGGTAGGTATACTCTCCAGTTCATCTCAGTGCCACTTTTGCACTGTTGTTGTCAGACATACCCTGCTGGCTTCATGTCTTCAGTTCTACCTTTCCCTGAGTTTCCTTCTAGCTCGCAGCAAGTTACCTCATATTAAAAACAAACCAAACTTAAACAAATCTGTTAGTAGATTTACCTTATTACCTTGTACTCGTTCTTCTCCTTTCTTTTAATATCAAGTTCTTTGATTTGTATGTAACCTGTTGCCTGCACTTTCTCGTTCTACCAGTTCTTTAGCTTCCCATTCCTGTTAATAGTTTTAACATGTTTCAGTTACTTTATGCTTAAAAGCATGGCATTTCTTTTCCTTGCCCTTCATGTCCCATCATCCTTTGCTAGCTACCTGGAAAAGCTCCAAATTACTTAGTCTGACCTTGAAGACCTTGAAGATCCAGCTGAAAAGTCACTTTCCTTGGCTAGCAGAGTTCATTGTTCCCTGTGTACACCAATAGTATATCTTTGTATTAGTACTTGTGACATTGTTTGTTAACTGCTTATTAGCCTCTCATCCCTGCTAGAGCTTGAGAAACCCAAGAGTAAGGATTAAGTCTTAACTGAATTCTTTCGTTTTTTGTTTCCCCTATTCCTCTACCATCAACATAGTACCTGCCTCAAAATTGGCATTCTAAATAGTTGAATTTAAAGATTTTGGATTTTTACTCAGCAGTATCTTTTATGTTGGTACCTTCCTTTGCACTTCTGTTACTACCCGCTTAGTTTGGGCCCTAATAATAACACTTTGCATTTGTAAAAGTCTATGTATTCTGTGGCATAAAATCTATTCACTAGTCTTCCTTTCTTCATTCCATTTTCATAGTAGCCCTTCAGTATAAAAAACGGCTATAATACAACCTCCAACCAAACCTTACATGACATGCTTTTCAATTCCCTTGTCACCCTGGTTACCCTCCGGCTGATTTTTTGAACTTAATTGGTAGGACTTCGCATTTATCCATACCAATTTGGTCTAAGGTTGCAGATAACTTTGTCCAAATAACTTTGAATCATAATTTGATAATTTGTAGGGTTAGCCTCCCAGCTTTCTATCATCTGCAAATTTGATAGACATAGCTTCATGTCACCATTCACAAATAATGGACAAGACCAAGGACAAAACCTCATGTTTTTTCTAAGGATCTTAATAGTTCATGAGTCCATCAGCCTTTAATGTTTCTGTTGCATCCCTTAATATACAGGGTGTCTATAGTTTGGATGGAAACATAGGTGAATTATATGACGTTGTCCAGGACATCTTTATTCTGTTTCTAGACTTGACGGACGCCCTACCGTGTGTGTGTATCTATGACTGGTACTCACACTTTTGCATTGGTACTCATTCTTAGATATTCATAAAGATTTTAAAGAACTAGATTGTAATAATCTCCTTATTTCTTTAGTATGTATGATGTTAAAGATAAATGTTTGACATTTATTAAATATTTGTTGATTAGAAGAATATATATCTTGCCTATATTAATATTTAGCAATCTTAAGCATTTCTCTTTTATATAACATTATTTTTAAAGGGAAAGGTAGAGCCAGTGTTGTAAAGAATTTTGTCCACAGTTTTAAAGGTTATCATACCTTCTCTTTAATTAATAGTTTAAAATGTGTAATGTCTTAGATGAAGAAAGCAGTTTACAAACAGTATGTATGATAAAATTCCATTTTTGTTAACACCAAAACACAACATACATGTAGAAAAATCTTTGGAAAGATAATTCTAAATGAAATATTAATAGTGCCTCTTTCTCATTGTTTGGCTATGAGTGATTTTTATCTTTTTTATCCTCTTTGCCTGTCTTTTTTTTTTTTTTTTGCAGTGAGTATACATTACTCTTACAATTAGAAAAAACCCACAAAATTAAAAAAAATCGTGGCTTAGTTATGAGTTGCTGTGTTAACTAACATATTGTGACTTTCATTTGCAGAAGGGATTTGATGGAACCCACGTGGATGCAGCCTGATCGATTGAGCCCACGAGTCCACCATTCTCAGCCACAGCCTCTTGTTGGAGCAGCTGGAAATTTACTCTCCCATCTCTTGAATCTAGAGCATGTAGGAATTTTGCATAAAGATTTTGAATCTGTTTTACCAACCAGGAAGAATCATAAAATGGCGCCAGGGCCATTAACTTTTACACCTCAACCATATCTGACCTCACCAGCTGCTCATCCAGATGCCTTGTTAAAACCTAGTGTCAGCCAATATAAGAGTAAACTGGATCGTATTGAAGCCTTGAAAGCAACAGCTGCTTCTTTGTCCAGTAGGATTGAAAGTGAAGCCAAGAAATTAGCTGGGGCTAACATTAATTATGGGTCAGTGAGGAACGCTGAGTATGAAATGCAGCAAACACCCCAACAAGATGGACCTTGGACTAAGGCTATAAGTCCACCTGTGAAAGAGGATGCCGAAGATGTTTTCTCCGCCCGAATTAAAAAGATGCTGGGAACCTGTGGATCTCATGCAACTTTTGATGATGAGCTTCCTGGGGTAGGCAATCTTAGTGAATTTAAAAAGCTTCCTGAGATGATAAGACCTCATAGTGCCATATCGAGCCTCAGAATGAGGTCCCCTGGTTCCAAACCAGAAGGACTGCTGGCACAGTTGTGTAAGAGGCACACTGACTCTTCTAGCTCTGATATGCAAGCTTGTTCTCAAGACAAAGCCAAAACGTCTCTTGGTTCCAGCACAGATTCAGTCAGTGAGGGGCCTCTTCTTAGTGAGGGGAGTCTCTCTGAAGAAGAGGGAGACCAAGATGGCCGGTCCCCTTTGAAGGTAGCAGAAATCTTAAAAGAAAAGGAATTTTGTGCTGGAGAAAGAAATGCTTATGAACCCATCAAAGAGTTTCAGAAGGAAGCTGAAAAATTCTTGCCACTTTTTGGGCACATAGGTGGTACACAAAGCAAAGGACCATGGGAAGAATTGGCAAAGGGAAGTCCACATAGCGTCATTAATATTTTTACAAAATCGTACCAGTTATATGGAAAAGACGAGAAAAGTAAGTAAGCCTTGTAACATTTGTATGTTATCTTAAGAAAAATTATTTAATAATTCTGTACAAGATTTTATTAAATACAGATTTTCATTGTTAATTATGAGGATAATGGAAACATTGTCTAAATCTAAATTATCTGCAAGTTTCAACTAGAGTATTGTAATTTGACCTTTAAATTTTTATTTTTTAGTCATAGAACTATAGTTGATTGGTAGTTACAGACATTTTGGTCTATTATAATTTAGAGAAATTCAGAGATGATGTTCAGGATTGGTATGTATCAAGCATATACTAGGTTTTCTTTAACCACAGTATTGTATTTAGATAGGAAGTAAGCATATTTCTTACTACAGTGACTTGTGAATCATGGGAAAACAGTGGTCAAGAATGGAGAGAGGCAACTATAGTAACATTTTTAATATGGAAACAAATCTATTACTGTTGGTCAAAACCAATTTTAAACACAGACTTTAAACAGTAATGTAGCTACTTATTTGGTTCTTGAAACAATAACTTCTAAACAACTCTTCTAATCTCTGAGATCCTGCAACATGACTTTCCTTTTCTATGATGGTCTCAATTCCTTCAAGCCCCTTTCTCTGTTTTTCCTGCCATAGGTGGATGCTACCTTGTGCTAACATAACCTTAGAATTTCCAGGTTGGAGAGTGAGGCTGAGCCTTAAGTCATCTGTTGATACTGTGGTTTTTTAAATTTCCATTCTACATAGTGAATAACTTATTTGACAAAGGAACTGATTTAATTTCTTCATCTTAGGTTTAATTGGTATCACATTGCATTTCCTAGAATTTATATTTCGCTACTTTGTTGTGATCTTACGCAGATTTATATATGCTGTTGATCTCTTTTGTTTAACACTTCTATAGATTTTAGAGTTCTTTGGATTTTAAAGCTCTTTTGATGAAAGCAAAGTGCTTTTACATTAACCATTTTTTTCATAAGAAAATTGGGTTTGTTCTTAAATCCTTCTATTAAATTTTCATTAAGATTTTGTAGTTATACTGAAATATTTAGAGTTGAAATGATATGTTATTCTGGGATTTGCTTCAAAATAATCTATAAGGGGAATGAAAGATGGGGAGAAGTTTTAGCTGAAACTACTGTAGATTGAACATGTGTTGATAATTGTTGAAGCTAGGTGATGGATACATTGGTTTCATTATGCTATTCTCTACTTTCATGTATGTTTGAAATTTTTCACAATAAAAAGTAACATGTATTGTTAGATATAAAGATAAATTGAAAAGAAGCACTAATAAAAGCAAACGAAAATGTCCCTAAGTCCATGTTGTTAATCCCTATGTTGTGAAATGCTTTGCTTGTAGTATTTTTATTTTTGTTTTAAAACACATTTCATCTATTACTTCTGACAGTATTTGAAGACAGGTTGGAAGGAGGAGCATCAGCACCGCGGTCTGTGAATGCCGCCTCAACGCCTCTAAGCAGTGTTTCGTATGAAGATGATTTTGTCTCCTCTTCAGGGAGTGGGACCTTGACAGAAAAAAAATCAGCTCTTGAACCTAGGTAAGGGGCTATGGAATACAATCAGAGAGAGAAAAATGTAGAAACAAGAACTGTGGTCTGAATATTGCTCAGATTGTGCTTGTTTCAGATACATGTAGAGGTTGCATAGCTCAGTGGTTATGAAGAGCACAGGCTATGGATTCAGACTGCCTGGGTTCAAATCCTGGCTCTCCTGCTATTAGTTATTTATCTTTGGGCATAGTACTCAACCTCCCATGCTTCAGTTTCCTTCTCTGTGAAACGGGGAAAATAATAGTACCTGCCTCATAGAGTGTTATCAATATTCAGTTAAATACAGAGTACTTAGAACTGGGCCTGGTACTTGGTAAGCAGAATATAGGTTGTTAAATCCATCTGCGAATCCTCATAGAGGATAGGATAGTATTGGGAACCTATCCCATAGTAGACCAATGTAAGAGGATTAAGAAAGGGTTTTCTGTGATAGAATTGAGGATGACCAGATAGATCCTTGACTCCATGATCCCAAGTAATCAGTAAATTTTTTTTTATAATTGGGATAACATCTAAAATTTTGCAAAGCTTTGAAGAATAGCTTTTTTAATATTAATATTTATTGAGCACTTAATGTGCAATGTATTAAGAGGACTGAGGGGGCTTTACCTGTATTAACTCATTCTTATGACATGGGATAAGTATTATTGTAATCATACCTCCTTCAGGAAATGGAAGCTCCAAAGTTAGGTGACTTGTACAAAGTAAGTGAATCAGACTGCTGGATAGAATTTCCTTGCTAAATTTTGTTACCATGTGGAGTAATCTGTAATATTCACATTCAGTATAATTTTCTTCAAAAATTACAAATTGTAATCCACATAAAATTATTAGATGATCTTTTAAAAATTAGTTTTATCTAGTTGGACTAATAAAAATAAGTATTATTCAAATTATATCAGGTAAAGTATAGTTTAAAATTTTGAGCTCTAAAGCAAAGATTAAAATGTAAAATCAAAACTTGTAAGGATTTAATTGTGGTGACATTTAATATCACTGATTAATATGATTTATTGCATTTTATTTCTTGGTTTAACTAGATCATATTAATTGTTGTTCCCTATAAGATTATCACGAGGAAAATAATTCTCATATTAGATTATAAATCTGAATATAAAATTGAGTCCACATTTTCTAGTATCCAATATTATGTTTTTTTCTCTTTTGTATCTGAATTACCCACTTTTATTTATTTAAAAAAATAAATTTTTTTTTTTAAGATTTTTTTAATTGGGGAATTAGGGGAAGGGGAACAGACAAGTTGCTGTCCTTTTGTTCTTCAGTCTAGTTGTGGAGGACGTTGCTTCACTGGCCCAAGTTGGCACCATCATTGCACTCTTCCCGGGCGAGGCAGATCAATCGCCGGCTTCTGGACGGCCGCTCACTGCGGCTGCTGGCCACACACGGTAGCCCATGGCAACCCACTGCCACAGGGACTGCAACCTGTGCTGTCGCCGGCGACTCATGGCAGCCCAGCTCCAGGTTGAGCTGTTGTTCAGCATCTTAGCTGTAGAGGGCAGTGTCACTGGCCCTCATACGTGGGACCTGAACCAGGGCCCTCTGGCGTCCCAAGCCAGCTCTTAACCATCGCGCCACTCGGCCGGCCCTGAATTACCCACTTTTATTGGTTTCACTTCAGTAAACAACTCCCTGAGATTTTTCTGTGATAAATTGAGCCATAGGAAACAATCCAAGCTTGTGTTAGTAAGAAAACAAAAAAGTGGAAGGCATCATTGATTATAGTTATATTCTCTTTGTGATTAAATAGATTTTAAAATATCTGTAGCTTAAAATATCTACAGAAGGAGATTTGACTTTGGGTGGTGAAAACACAGTGCAATAAACAGATGATGTATTATAGAATTGTACACTTGAAACCTATATAATTTTATTAAACAATGTCACCCCAATAAATTTAATTTTTAAAAAATCTATAGTTTTAGCTTCATTTTAAGACTTGTTATTTCTTTCTTCCACTATTACTTATTCTTTGACAGTATTGGTAGCAGTTTAGGCATTCAGGAGGACCATTCTAGTAGAAAGTCAGCCTATGATCTTTCCTCTGTGGATATGACCTCCCAGCATTCATCGGGGGCCCACTCTGCTGCATCCTCTCGTTCATCTACTTCTTCGAAAGGAAAGAAAGGAAAAAAGGAAAAGATGGAATGTAAGTGGCATTCTATATGGTGACTTTTTCTCTTAACAGTGATTTTGTGGTAGTGATCTGAAGTTATGATTTTATTCTGTAAGAAGTTAGATGAACTTCTTTATGATAATGTAATTAGTTTCCATATTTATTTATCATTACAACAGTACCTTTAGATATATAACATAAATCTTTGCTTATACAAAAGGAATACATTTGCAATGATAAAAAATTAAGGATTGCAGATAAACAATCATACAAGAAATGTAAATCCCCATTGATCCCTCTGCTCAGCGATAACTATTAACATTTTTGGTGCCTGTTTTTCCAGTATATACATAAAACTGCACGTGCGTGTATACACACACACACACACACACACACACACACACATACACATCTTTAAAAAACAAAATCATATTGTTTTGTAGCTGCTTTTTAAAAAACTTTATAGCATATCATGTACATCTGAGTATCATTAAATATACTCAAATTTTCTTACCTGTAAAATAAAGATGATAATAATAGATGTTTCATATGGTAATTTGGAAGCTTACATGAAATTAACAGATAGAGTCTATATTTAGCACAGTGGCTGGCCTTTGGCTACTCTAGGTATTTTTGGGTGATTGAGGAGAACCTTTCAGTACTCCCATTCTGCTCTGGGCTATAATTTGATCTGTAGACCTAGATGTGAGAAGATAACAGTAGTTAATTAGGCAGAGGCCTCTTGGACACATAGGATGGTCCCTAGGGAATGATTTTGCTTCCAGAATTGTTTTTTCTAAATGTAAAAAATTGCTTATTGAGTTAAAAAAAAAAAAAGGAGGAGGAGAAATCGGTAAATATAGAAAACTATTTAAAAATTAAAAATCACCTGTAATCCCTCCACCTACAGATAACCAATGTTAACATTTTTTTAGATTTTTTTTTATTGTAAAATATATGTAGCAAAAACTTTATCATTTTAACCATTTCCAAGCGTACAGTTCAATGTCTAAGCACATTCACATTGTTATACAGCCATCAACCATTTCCAGAACCTTTTCATCATCCTAGACTAACCCTCTGTACCCATTAAAACTATAACTCCCCGTCCTGTCTTCTCCCAGCCCCCGCTAACCACTGTTCTACTTTCTGACTCTATGAATTTGAATACTCTAGGTACTTTATATATAAGTGCATCAGACAATATTTACCCTTTTGTGACTGGCTTATTTCATTTAGCATAATGTCCTCAACTTTCATCCATGTGTCAGACTGTCCTTTTTTTTTTTTTTAAAGTTTTTATTGGGGAATTGGGGGAAAGGAAACAGACAAGTTGCTGTCATTTTGTTCTTCAGTCTAGTTGTGGAGGACATTGCTTCACTGGCCCAATTTGGCACCATCATTGCGCTCTTCCCGGGCGAGGCAGATAAGTTGCCGGCTTCTGGACCGCCGCTCACGGTGGCTGCCGACCACACACAGTAGCCCATGGCTACCCACTGCCACAGGGGCTGCAGCGTACGCCGTCAACTCACAGCAGCCCAGCTCCAAGTTGAGCTGTTATTCAGCATCTTAGCTGTAGAGGGCAGTGTCACTGGCCCTCATGTGGGATCCAAACCAGGGCCCTCTGGCGTCCCAAGCCAGTTCTTAACCATCGCGCCACTCGGCCAGCCCTGTCCTTCTTTTTAAGGTTGAATAATATTCCATTGTCTGTATAGAGCACATTTTGTTGATCTGTTCTTTAGTTGATGGACATTTGGGGTCTTCCCACCTTTTGGATATTGTGAATAATGCTGCTGTGAACATTGGTATACAAATATCTGTTTGAGTCCTGTTTTCTTTTGTGTATATACCCAGATGACTTACTGGATCCAGTATATTGAGTATGAGTATAAGCAATATGATTCAATATAGGTTTTTAAAAATTATGATCTAAAACATGATTGTATGTAATATAGGTAGGGTTTTGTGGGTTTTAGTTTCCCTGATCCCCTTTCACAGTGCCTTAAAAAACCCTGTATATTTTACTTTCTTTCTTCTTCATCTCTGAGTTCTAAAATCACTGTAATTTTTGTTGTATATACACCATCTGGTGGTGAAAAAGAGTGTCTGCATGCTCTGTACAGAAACTCCCATTAAAGTTGAAAGTAGCTAATAGAGTGGCAATCATTAAGGAAAAATTTTTGTAATCTTAATTTAACTTTAAAACATATAAATATACCTTCATTTGGCAATCTTTTAAAGCATGGGAAAATATTTTCTTTGCAAATGGGTCCCTTGGTTAGAGTTTAGATCTTTCTTGCGTAGACCATTGTATTGTCTCCAATTTCTAGTTGTTTGAAATGAAGAACAATTTTTAAATGGTGTATTTATTTTCAAAGAACAATATTAAATGAAGTGTTCTTATTCTACAAGAATGTGTCTTTATTATGGAAAAATAGGAGATAACCAGTATTAACAGCTGTTTTTAGCCTTGGGATCATAAAAAGGTTTTAGATGATAGCGCTCTTTAATAATTATTGATAATCCCTTACATTATTTGTGTGTGTGGTTCCCCCCCGCATTGTGGTAGTGCAGTCTCAGCATATGTAATTCATGGTGCACGTATTTACGTAGCTTCCTAGGATGAATTGGTATGAGTGAGGTGGGCTTTCTGTCAAAGGGGATAGAAAATTATTTCTATACATATTTTAAGTTGTCCTTCAGAAAAGATACATCAGTTTGCACTCTCATGAAAACAGTTAATGAGTATCCCTTCCTGATACTCTTAAGTTTCATTTCTTTAAAAATATTTGCTAATCTAACAATGAAAAAGGGCATCTCATTGAAATGATTTGCATTTCTTAGATTGCTACTTGGATTTAGTATTTTTCATATGCTATGACTGTTTTCATTTTTAAACCAAATTTTAATGAAAAAGTGTTACCATATTACTATCACTATAGCATAATTTTTTTATTTATCTACTTTATATGTGACAAAATATACCTAACACAAAATTTACCATTTTAACTATTTTTAAGTGCAGAGTTCAGTGGCATTAAATTTATTCACGCTGTTTGTAACCATCACCACCATCCATCTCCAGAACTGTTTCATCATTTCACACTAAACACTGTACCCCATGCCACCCCCACATTCACCATTCTACTTTCTCTCTATGAATTTGACTAGGAAATTTAACCATTGTTAAGTGTACAGTTCAGTGGCAATAGTACATTTATTTATTGTGCAACTATCACCAATCCATTTCCATAAGTGTTTCATCATTCCAAACTGAAACTTGAGGCCCCTTCCCCTGGCCCCTGGGAACAACTCTTCTACTTTTCGTCTCTGTATTTGCTTACCCTGGGTACCTTATATAAGTGTGTAATCAGAATATTTGTCGTTTTGTGACTGGATTTTTTACTTAGCATGTCTTCAAGGTCTACATTGTAGCATGTGTCAGAGTATGTCCTTCCCATGTGTATACCACTTTTTTTGTTTATGCGTTCCTCAAAGAGTTGAAGGACAGTCACTTTCATCTTTTTTTGGCTGTTGTGAATAATGCTGCTATGAACATGGGTATTCAGTAAAATTTTTTTTCACTTTCACTTTAAAAAAAAATATTTTCTTGGGGAATTGGGGGAGGGGAACAGCGCTGGGGAAGTGGGAGAAGGGGAACAGACAAGTTGCTGTCGTTTTGTTCTTCAGTCTAGTTGTGGAGGATGTTGCTTCACTGGCCCAAGCTGGCAACTCACGGCAGCCCAGCTCCAGGTCGAGCTGTTGTTCAGCATCTTAGCTGCAGAGGGCAGTGTCACTGGCCCTCATATGTGGGATCTGAACCAAGGCCCTCTGGTGTCCCAAGCCAGTTCTTAACCAACGCGCCACTCGGCCGGCCCACTTTCACTTTTTTTTTAATCTTTAACCATATATCTACATTAAAAAAATTTTTAGTTGACATTAAAATGTACCTGCAATTCTTTTTTCTGCTTCCTTTTTTAACATAAATAGTTTCCCATCCTGCTATTGAAACACATCATCAAGGTGAACTGTGCACTAGGTGTAGAGTCATGAGGCCTGAGTTTATGTCCTATTTCTGTTGTTGACCACATATCATTTAGCAAGTTATTTAGCGTCATAGATCTCTAGTTACCTCATCATTAAATGAGTATATGGTACCCACTTCATAAGATGTTTAAGTTAAACAAGGTGATATACGTATATATAGATGCATTTTAAATTGCAAAGTGCTATTTAAATTTTCAAGTTACTGTTATCTCTGTAACTTAGAAAACTCTTCTGTCGTTGCAAATGTAGGTTGAACTTTTTAAAATTACCAGTATATGAAGTTATGCATTGAATAGCATGCATAATTTTTGTTGGTATCAATAATCTCTTTAAGACACCCCTACAGGTGAGACTGTTCTGAGTCAGAGAATGTGAAGAGTTTTATGAATCTGGCTATGTAGTTCTTGCCATAGAATTTTTCAGAAGGATTGTGTAGTTCACTTGGCAGTGGATACTATTTTTCTCCCAGCTTTGAGTTTTATCCTTGAAATACTTCTTTTTGCTTACCTTTTCATAGAGGTAGGGTAGTACTTCATTCTTATTTAATATCCTTAGTACTTTATTCTTATTTAATATCCTTGTCATTTTTAACCACTTGATTTAAGAACCATTTATTTTTTGATAGCAAGTGGGGGATGTTAATGAAAGAAACTTCACTTTCCTTAAATGGAAGTAGGTGGATGAAGTGCTTTATGTTAGATATTGAAAAACAAAGTTTAAAAATACGTCAATTTTAAAATAATCTGGTCTGTACTTATGTTATTGAAATCTAAGCATCTGTCAATTATTTTTCAGTAGCTTCTAATATTGGGAATCAGCTTTATAAGAAATTTGCTTTACAGGGCTGGATTCACTCCCTGGAAACGTTCAGAACTCACGTCTCGATGAGGAAAAAGCGCACTCTGGCTCAGATCGTGGCTCTCAGCAAGGAAAGAGACCTGGGGCCAGTAGCAAACTTTCCGTCCAAGATCATGAGCAGACGCTTGACACTGATAGCACTTTGGAGGATCTTTCTGGGCAGTCTTTGAGGTAAAGCAATGTCTATTTTATACTGTAATTTGTGCTTCATTAAAACTACAATATCATTGACATTCAGAGAATCCATTTAATAAATTTCTGTATTCGAGGAATAGATACTGTAGTTTTGTTCATAGCTGTAGTCTTTATGTTTTAGAATATGGCCATCTCTCTCTCCTAAACTATTAACAACCTCTCCCTCAGGAAATCTCTGCCTCGGGCACAACCCAGCTTTCTATTCCAAATGCCGTCAGCGCAGTTGTTTTCTTGACTCAGTCCTTTGACCAAGCAGCTGCTTTCCTGGGGTGCTCTGGGAGCTCACAGTTACCCCACAGATCACCTCTAAGAACTTAACGTGATTCCGTGTGTTTTTCCCACACACTGTCTCATGGCCTTTCTCTATACCTTTTGCTTCTCGGCTGTGTTCTTCTACTCTTTCAGCACAACCACCACACAGCCTTTTGTTCTCAGTCTTTGTTTCTTCCTCTGAACTTTTCCCCCCTGCTCAACTTTTAGATGACACAGGTGGATTTTGAAATCTCACTTTTATTGATTATGGAGCTTTCACACTCTGGTTTTTTCCCTTGTTTTAAAAATCATGTATTATGCACTTAGCCTGTTGTTTACCAATAATCTTCAATTACTACTTCATGTATAGTTTCCACTTCTTTGTCCACATGACTTTTTATCTGCTGCACTGGTTTTGTCCTTCTGGAAATTTAAATTTTGAGAAGACATGGGTTTATTTTTACCTTTTAAAACTGTGTTTTTTCGGGGCCGGCCGAGTGGCTCCAGTTGGTTAAGAGCTCGCTCAAGAGTTTGAGCTCTGAGCAACAGCGGTTCGATGCCCGGCCGGAGCTGAGCTGCCAACAGGTGGCAGGATGGCTCAGCTAAAAAAAAAACCAAAAAAAACGAAAAACCTGTGTTTTTTCTTGAACAGTGTCACAGGTAATCATTTTTAATACTTTCATGTTGCAACTAGTGTTGCAACATTAATACTATCATTGCTATATTTAAAGTTAAATTTAATTTCTTTGTCAGTGATTTTGGAATTCAGAAAACTTTACCTTTTCTTAAGCGATACTCTGGTGATTTAGTTGGCAAAATCTACTGTTAAATATTTCTAAAATAGAATTCATAGCCAAATAAGTTTAATAATGCCCCATTCTATAGTCTAGACCTTCCCCCACCCCCCTTCCCCATCTGTGGATGTTCACAGTAGATAAAATAATTTGAGGCTTTGATAAAGAGAAGTCCAGATTTCAAAAAATTATTTAACCTGTTTTTTTCTCAACTTACTTGGCTGTAGACACCCTCTGTCTCTAAGCTCTTTCCCTTTCTTTCCTTTTTATTTTTTGGAAAACTTAATATCATTGGAAACATACTTTTAGAAACGCTAGTCTTAGGTGAATCTTCTCTGCAGAGCAAATCTACATTTGTCTCTTAAAACCATAAGGTGAGATTCAGACAGAGTACTTTGTCTTGATGTTTAGAAATCTTTCATGGAAATCTGTTAGGAGACCCAAGTAACAGTAACCCTTTTTATGTTTCATAAATTAATGTCAGACTGTTAAAAATAGTATTTCTATAAACAATTAATAGAAAATTAAAGGTCACTGTAAATAAGAGGGTACCTCTCAATACTGCTTTTACTCAAATATTTACATGCTGGGTATAAATAGAAATGTTTGCCTTTGAAAGCTATTTCATAATTTTATTAAAGCTAAAAGTAAACTTAGTATGTTAGAAATATGTTAACTGCAAACTTGCTTTGTAGAGTATCTGAGTAATTTAGTCAATAAATATTTATTTAAAGCAACATTTTTTTTGTTACGGGAAGCAATACCGCTAATGAACTTAATTTCTCGAAGAGGGGCTAGACATGTGCCTTGTGTTGAAATAAATGCCTTAAGAATTGTCCAAACTGCTATGAAAGGTTACTTCTTAATAGAAAGTTCAGGAAAGAACTGTAGTATTAAAATTTGGGTGGAAACAAATGGACATATATAAAATACTTAGAGATGGTTAGTATGGAATGTAATATTTTGCTGTGAGTCTTTTGGGTTAAGAGGAGTAACAAAAGAGTAGTTTTTGTCATTTCTTAATTTTTAATACAAAATGTTATTTTATTCTCTTTCACAGGTATTTTAAGACATATTTTATGACAAACTTGATCTTCCCTTTAATATATGGCTGTAATTTTATTGCTGTATAATATTTTAAAGGATTTTGCCTTGTACTACAGTAATGATTTATGATGTGTTCACATTGTAGAGGAAAGAGTTAAGTGGCTATTTAATCCAGAGAGTCCTTTTCCATCTTACTTTGAGTAGGGTTTGTGCCTCACTTGTTCCCCCTGTAAATGGAGCAATAAGAGGAGCACTCAGAGCTGTTCATTCAGCACAGCGGCTGGGGAAGGAATAAATGCCTACATCACAGCTTTTTAAAGCTAATGTTAATAGAAAAAGTAATGCATGCTCCTCTTATGAATTGTTGTTAGCTGGTTCCTGAAGTAGTTTTCCTTTCTCTAATGTTGTTTTGAAATAAAACTTCTAGCATCTCATCAGACAAGGGAAGATCTCAGAAAACTCCACCTTCTCCCCTGTCTCCAAGTTCCCAGAAATTGTTGCAGTTTGACCTTTCAGGAACTTCATTAGAAAGATCGAAGTCTTTGGTAACAGTGTCTCCAGCTACAACAGGATTGAAGCCTAATGCCTCTTTTACTGATAGGAGCGTGGCTGCCAGCAGAACTCCTACAGAGATGACTTCAGCACTAGGTAAGTAGACCCATGCAGGTGTAATTTTAAAAAGAAGGTATTCGTTTTTTTGAAACTTTTTTTTCAATTGAATTGTAGGGAAGTGTTATTTCAAATGAATGTGATTCCTTTTTGAAGTATTAAATAAAAACTGTGCAGGAAAATAAAATTTGAGAAGCATGAGAGGTTCAATAACGGTGGTTTTTCCCATCTTACCAGCATTAGTCAAAACATACCTGAAAAATATATGTACTCCTAAGTGTTTTTAGGTATATGTGTATGCATACGCACACATACTTACATGTGTGCACGTGCATGACACACACACAAAGTAACTGTTAAAATACATGGTACTTATCAGTCACTCTCTTTCCTACAAAGAAAAGCAGACTTGGTTTTGGCTCTTAAAATGAGAAATGAATTTTACTTTTACAATTGACAATTGTTATGTCCCCCAGGTTCTAAACGCTTTTCTCCTGCTGGCCTCCAGCATCGAATGGCAGCTGAACTCAGTTACTTGAGCGCCATAGAGGAGTCTGTGCGCCAGCTCTCGGATGTAGAAAGAGTTAGAGGCATCTCCCTTGCTCAGCAAGAGAGTGTGTCTCTGGCTCAGATCATAAAGGTATTTGTGAAGTTTTCTCCTTTAACCCTCTGTGTGTTTTCTGTTTTCTTTGCTATTAAAAATAATCGTAATGATGAGTTAAAAAAACGTAGTAGGTAGTCACTAGATATTTTGATAAATGATAAATGGTTGCCGTCTATCCTATTTACTGTCTTTCCTGTAGGCCTTAATTGGTTGCTTCAAAGGATTTGTGTTAAGAAAATAGCATTGCAAACCATAAAACCCTTTCTAAAACCTCATAAAAATGAAATTATAGCGTATATATTCTTTTGTATAAGGCTTCTTTAACTCAGCCTAATGTTTCTGAAATTCATCCATGTTGTTACATACTCATTACTTCTAATTGTGAGTAGTATTCAATTTTATAGAATATGACACAGTTTGTTTAACCATCTTCCAATTGATAAATATCTGAGTTGTTTCCAGTTATTGGCTATTATAAATAAAGCTGCTGTAGCCATAAAAAAAAAAAGAAAATAGCATTATGTTTACTGTAGTTACTGTTATAATAGTTGAGTATCTTCAAGTTACTAACTGGTCATTTCTTCCTCTCGCAGGCACAGCAGCAACGCCATGAAAGAGACTTGGCCCTGTTGAAAGTGAAGGCTGAACAGGAGGCTCTGGAGTGTCAGAGACAATTAGAAGAAACTCGAAACAAAGCCGCTCAGGTAACTTACTTTGCAGCAAGTACTGGTTCTTAAACCTAAATTAGTATCTTTGAAAGCACTTTAGTATTTTTTAAATTATATAGTAATAAAAAAAGAGATGTCGGTTATGACATATGGGTTAATTTTATATCATTTGATTCTTGTAGCAACCCTGTGAAATTCAGTAGTCAAGATTTAGTCCCCGTTTAAAGAAGTGGAAACTGAGGTACACAGTAGTTACTTGTTTACACACATCAACTTATGAACAGTGGAGTTAAGACTTAACTCCAGCAGTGACTTTAAGACTCCAGATTTTAAACTCAAGATTTTAAGACATGAACTCCAGATAGTAACCAAGTGGTTTTTTTTTAAAGATTTTATTGGGGAATTGGGGAAGGGGAACAGACAAGTTGCTGTTCTTTTGTTCTTCAGTCTAGTTGTGGAGGACGTTGCTTCACTGGCCCATGTTGGTATTATCATTGTGCTCTTCCCGGGTGAGGCAGATCGGTCGCCGGCCTCTAGATGGCCGCTCACGGCAGCTCTTGGCAGCTCATGCCAGCTGCCAGCCGCTCACGCTGGCTGCCGGCCACACACGGTAGCTTATGGCAGCCTGCTGCAGCAGGGGCTGCAGCCTATGCCGTTGCCAGCAACTCTCGGCAGCCCAGCTCCAGGTCGAGCTGTTGTTCACCATCTTAGCTGTAGAGGGTGCAGCGTCACTGGCCCATGTGGGATCCAGACCGAGACTCTGCTGCTCAGAGCTCACACTCCCAAGCCAACTCTTAACCAACGCGCCACTTGGCCGGCCCACCAAGTGTTTTTTTAATAAGAACATTTGATCAATGAAACAGATTTGCGAATTAAAGCTAATTTGGGTTAGGGGGAGACTGTGACACGACAGAAGTTCTCTTTACCCTCTTTTATTTACAGGTTCATGCAGAATCATTACAGCAGGTGGTGAAGTCACAGCGGGATGTCACTGATGTCCTGCAGGAAGCAACTTGTAAAATAGCTGCCCAGCAAACAGAGGCTGCTCGCCTCACCACAGACGCAGCACGCCAAATCTGTGAGGTAAGAGCCACTGAGAACCCTTTCCTTTTTCGTTCTTTTTAGTCAGTCTGAGTAACTTTGATCTTTCATTGCAATGTCGTGTACATTTGAATGTATAGAGGCAGAAAAAAAGATGGAGAACTCTAAATTTCTGCCCTTGAGCAAGCTTTAAAAAAAAAATAGATTTTTTTGATGAATAATTTACAAACAATAAAATGTATTCATTTTAAGTACAGTTTAATAAGTTTAGATAAATATATAGATATCTATGTCTATATAAGTCTGTATCTTAATCTATCCATCCCTATCAACACCACCATAATCAAGAAATAATATTTCCAACACTAAAAAGTTTGCGCATGTCCCTTTGCAGTCAGTCCCCAGCCTTGGTCTCAGGGAGCCACTGATCTGCTTTTTATGAAGATGTTTCATTTTTATCCAGAGTGGTGTTAGTGTCTTTTACTGTACCAAAGATAGAGCTAGAAATAGTTTCACTGCTGTCTTTATATAGGGTATCTATAGATATAGCTTCAGTTTATTTTGGTAGTTATTATTTTAGTATCGTTTGTGAAATGATTGTTACTAAAAAGCCACAAGCCTACTATACGTTGGGTACTATAGGATTGTGCAAATAAGTATAAAGTAGACCCTCTTTTCTCAAGAAAATTTTAGACAACATTGACAAAAATTTCAAAATCACTTCAAGTTGTCAAGGCAGCGATTGACTAAATACAAAATGAATAATATGTGCAGCAATGGCCACAGTGGCTAAGAGTAGGAAAAATGTACTTCACATTGTTGGTCGGAAAAGACTTGGCAAGTAGTAATTGAATTGATTTTTGAAGGAAGATCCAGCATTTGGTTTCCTGTGCCTTATTATATGACTTGAAGGTTTTTTGTCTAATTCCTAGATTCTTATAGTTGAGTGAAACCTTAGAAATCATGCTGTCCACTTTTTTATTTTTATAAGGAAGCTGTTGAGACTTAAAGAATCTAAATGACTTGTCTACAGTATTTCACCGATTATGGCAAAATTGGCTCACTCTCAATCCAGCAATCCTTCCCAGACACTGTGCTCCCTCTCAGCTCTTTTGTGACGTTATCCTTTTAAAACTCCTTTTGCCTTGTGTGTATTCCTATTTAGATGGCAGAGTTGACTCGAACTCGAATCTCAGATGCCATCACTGCTTCAGGAGCTCCCCTAGCAACGCTGTATGACCACCAGCGGCAACGTGCACCAGACTTCATAAAACAGCTGAGCACCAGGGCTGAAGCAGATAGGTTAATATTCAATCATTCAGCAAATATGTGATGAGTATGTCCCAGGCACTGTTGTGGGATCTTGGAATATAGTTATGAGCATACAGTCTAGTGGGGAAGATAACCATTAATTAAATAGTCACTTAAGTGAATGAACGCTATAAACTGAGGTAAGTGTTATGAAAGAAAGGAACATATGTTTCTGGATATATAACAGGAATTTGAATAGCCTGTGGGTATAAGGAGGTCAAAGGAGGTTTTCCTGAGGAAGTAAAGCTTATGGTGAGATCTAGTGGATAAAAAGGAGTCAGTGATATAAAAGAGGTAAGGCGTAGGCAGGTCAGTACATGCAAAGGTAGGAAGAAAAATGAAGGAAGGCCAGTGGAACTGGCTGGAGGCAGAGAGCCAAGGGGAGAATAGTAGGAGACGATGCAGGGATCAGATCAGGGTGAGGCCTTGGCAGACCTAAGGATTTGGGAGTTTATTCTAGAGCAATGAAAAATCAGAGAGTGTTTTAGGCAGGGCTGGGTGATGTGATCATGTTTGTGTGTGTCTTTGTTTACTTCACATTTTGGCTGTCTGTGATTCATAGATTTTAAGTCTCTATTCCCATTCATTGATACTTGAGTTGATTTGTGTTTATTTCTCATAATAAAGCAGGAGACATTTTTTAATGCGTTATACACACTTTTCTATGAATGAATGCCTTTCTCCCTCAGATACTTTGTAACAATTATTTCATAATTTCTATTCATTCAAGATTTTCTCTCCTATTAATATTGAGCAGTATTTAAAATCTTTCTCTTATTAGAGACTTTAAATGTTTAATCATTTTTCTTTGTAGGAAAAGTGCATCTGTTTCACTCTCTCACAGTAAAGAAGGGACCCTGGACTCAAAGCATCAGAAGTATTCTTCATATGATACTTATTCTGAATCTTCAAGATATAAGAATCACGATCGAAGGTGAAAACAGTTTAATATAGTAAAGTCTGATAAATGGCAGAGACATTGCTTTTGTTTTGTTTTGCTTTGACTTCGTACTCTCATTTCTTGAAATGAAATAGTGTCTCCCCTTCAAAACTCTGGCTTCCCCCATTTAATTAGCTGATTTACAAAACAGCTGTTCCTGTAATAATGTAGCTACCATTCCTTGAGAGCCTGTATTATACAAGCGCTGCATAAGTTGTGTTTCCTACATTTAATCTTCACAACAACCTTCCAAGACAGATATTACTTTGTTTTACAGATTAGGGAGCAAAGACTTATGGAGATGTTAAGAAACTCACCCAGGGTCACACAGGTAGTGGCACACCAAGGAATTGAATTGAACCTTGGTTTATCTGGCTCTAAAGCCTCTGTTTATTAGCAGATTGCTTTGCTGGCACCCCTATTTTTTGGCATTGCTGTATCCACTAATTTTTATCATTATAAAAGAAGATTGAAAAAAAAAAAGAAGATTGAATATTTTGTCATGGTACTTGGCACAGTATTAACATCTATAGTTTTCAGTTGTGGTTCTGTCCTTGGACTAGAAGATTTTAGGGGCTGCTTTCCAGCATTCTTAGAGGTATGATTCTACATTGTCAAAGGGTAGTAAAAACCTCAATTAAAAAAATTAAATCATGACACTAAAAAAACATGAAAATTAATGTAGGATTTATTAATAACCAGTAGTTATTGAGTACCTACTGTGTGTCTGGAATTGTGTGACTTTCATTTAACCTTCAGTGACTCTTCATTTAGGCCATCATCTGGGTGGCTGTGATGGACCCCTAATAGGTTTCCCCACTCTGTTCATTAACCACATGGTAACCAGAGTGATATTTCTAAAATTTGCGGCCAGTTGTGTATTCACCTGTTTGAAACCTTCAGTATTTCCTCTGAATGGGCCTTTGGTCCATCTCCAGCTCAGTCTGTTGGCGTTTCCCCTCTTGTCATGTACCACCAGTGCTAACTGCTCCCAGTGCTCTGACACAGCCATGTTCTCTCTGTCTTCCGTGCCATTGCACAGGACGTACCTTCTTCTAGACCCTTCCCCCTCATTTCATTTAGTTTACTTTACTTCCGCTTTGAGAGTCAGTACCACCCCTAGTCTGCTTTAGGCATCCTTTCCGTGTTCTCCCACAGCACCCTGGACATAACTACTGCAGCCTGTACACCTTCTCTGTCCTTATTTGTTGTAGACTAGACGAGAAGTTCTTTGAGGGCTTCATTTTCATCCCCCCAAGAAGAAACCCTGTACCCACCATTGGCAGTCACTCCTTATGCCTCATCTTCCCCAGCCTCTGGCACCACTAATCTACTTTCTATTTCTATTCTCTATAGATTTGTCTATTTAGGACATTTCATGCAAATGGCATCATATAATGTGTAGTCCTTTATGACTGGCTTCTTTGACTTGGCATAATGTTTTCAAGGTTCATCTATCATATATCAGTACTTTGTTCCTTTATATAGCCAAATAATATTCTATGGCATGGATGTACTACATTTTATTTATCCATCAGTTGATAGGCATTTTGACTGTTTACACTTTGGGCTATTATGAATAGTGCTGCTGTGTACATGCAAGTACAAATTTTTGTGTGGACATATGTTTTCATTTCTCTTGAGTATATATACTTAAGAGAGTGTTGCTAGATCATATAGTAATTTTTTTTTTAAGGAATTGCGAAATTGCCAAATATATATAATATATTTTATAACTTATATTTATATAAGTGTTTTCACCAACACTTGTCATATCTTTTTTTTTTATAGCTGTTCTAATGAGGACCATGTCATTCTTGTATCCCCAGAACTTAGCAAAATGCCTAGCACACAGTAGGCAATCTACTACATGTTTATTGAGTGAATAATTGGCACATTACTAAGTGGAAGAATTGAGATTAACCCCATATCTTTGTGACTCCAGAGCACTTGCTGTTCTTACATTATATTTTTTACCTTATAGCTTTATTCTATGATTTATCCATTCAAAAACATTAGACAAATAATTGCATAATAGTCTGATAAATACTATCGAAGAAACATACAACAGACAGTATGAACAGAGACAGAAGTGACCAATCCTTCCTTGGAAGTGGGAGGAGGGGTCCACAAACAGAAATGATACTTGAATTGCCTTGAATTAGTAGTTCATTAGGCAGCGAGGGAGGGAGGAGCATTTCAGAAGAGGAAGTAGTTCACGCAGAGGATCTCAAACCCTGGTTCATGATTGGCTTTCTATATACAGCCTCCTTGTTGGTTTCAGAAGGTAGGGCTGCCTCCTTGGTTTCATTCATACATATATATAAATGAATGACTAAGGAAAGCAGAGGGAGAGGAAGCAAAGCATTGAACTTGAAAACAAGTTCACTAAGCATTTGACAACTTGAGGCTTAAGGTCAGGGAAAGGGCAGAGTTAGTCATACATATTTGAGGCTCAATCAAGACAGTAGTTGAAATTATAGGACGCATAAGATTTCCCAAGGAGAGTAGTACATAGCATAAAAGAGAAAGGACCAAAAACAAAACCCTACGTAGCACCATTATTTTAAGGAAAGAGAGAAAACTTAAAAGAAAGTGAAAGAAACACTGGAAAACTTGTTAAGGTAGGAAGAGCACAGGTAAGTAGAGTCAGGAAATACAAGAAAAGAGAGCTCTTTGGGTTAACATTTAATTTTGATATCATTTCAAGTTTACAAAAAAGTTGCAAGAGTAATACGAAGTTCCCAAATATCTTTTATCCAATACAAAGTTCCCAAATAGCTTTCATCTAAACAACCCTAATGTTAATATTTTACTACATTTACTTTAATGTAGCGAGCTTTTAAAGGAGACAGAAGTCAACACCATCTAATATTGCAGAAAAATAAATTTTCTATTAGATTTGGCAAGTAGAGTTTAAATAGTTTACAAGAAGAGTTCCAGTAGAGTAACTGGGATTGAAGCAGATTGTGATAAATTGTGATATTAATGAAAAATAAGGAAGTGGAAATAGCAAGTAGAAGTCCCTTCTCGGGCTGGCCAAGTGGCTCAGTTGGTTAAGAGCTTGCTCAAGAGTGCGAACTCTGAGCAACAGTAGTTTGATTCCCGGCCCGAGCTGAGCTGCCGCTGAGATGCCAACAGGTTGGCAAGATGGCTCAGCTAAAAAAAAAAAAAAAGTCCCTTTTCCCAGTAGCTTGCTTTTCAAATGAAAGGAAACACTGGGAAAAACTGGAGCGACAACCTGAGAACAGTGCTTGCCCATCGTGACTATTTAAATGTGAAACCTTCCTCTCTCCTATTCATTTTTTCTAAAAGTTTCTTCTCAGACTTATAGCTACTTAGCATTTTTGTTTTATATTATATCTCTCACCATTTTATATCTTGATCATAAGGCACATTCCTTATTTTGTCACTTTTTTTTCTGTTTTGTTTCCATAATATTCATAAACAGAAGTAGCAGCGGTAGCAGCCGTCAGGGAAGTCCTCCAGTTCCATCTTCTAAGGAAAATGAGAAGAAGCTTTCTGGTGAAAAGACGGAGAGTTCTATTGATGAACAGGCTCAGACTGCTGTGGATGACACTCTACGAAGCGACAGTGTACCTTCTCTTCTCGATGAGAAAGGTAACTTTATCCTTGCTTTGCACATATGTGCATAATTATTTGTTTCGGGAGGTTACAGAACTCTTTGAGATATTTGTGACTATGCTAGTTAATATCATTAGAATATGCTGATAATGAGGACAAGGTTATATAGCTGATAGTAACTGTTTCTGGTAGAAACTACATATCTTATAGAAACTATTTCAAGGCCATACACTATGCCAGTAACCCCTGCCAATATTTTATACAATTGTGTGTCATAATCCTAAGGGAAGGCAAAACTAAATCTAGGAGAACATGCATGTGAATGAAAAATATATACTCAGCATTGGAAAAAATACTTTTATCCTATTATAGCTATGTAATGTAATCGTAAGAGAATCCATTATTAGAACTTTACATTTTAAACAATATAATAAGGGTACAATTTCTTACAAATGATGATAACAGATAAAATAACTATATTAAAGTTCATAACTCTTTATAGATCACAAACAAAAGCTGTATTCCTGTCAGATCATGGACAGTAAATAACATAACAAAGAAAACAGAATCTGGCAACAAATGGCACCTTTAAGACAATAAGTCAGGGGCCGGCCGAGTGGCGCGTTGGTTAAGAGCTGGCTTGGGCTGCCAGAGGGCCCCGGTTTGGATCCCACATATGAGGGCCAGTGACACTGCCCTCCACAGCTAAGATGCTGAACAACAGCTCAACCTGGAGCTGGGCTGCCGTGAGTCGCCGGCGACGGCGAAGGCTGCAGCCCCTGCTGCAGTGGGTTGCCATGGGCTACTGTGTGTAGCCAGCAGCCACAGTGAGTAGCCGTCCAGAAGCCGGCGACTGATGTGCTTCGCCCAGGAAGAGCGCAATTATGGTGCCAACTTGGGCCAGTGAAGCAACGTCCTCCACAACTAGACTGAAGAACAGAACAATAGCAACTTGTCTGTTCCCCTTTCCCCAATTCCCCAGCGCTGTTCCCCTCCCCCAATTCCCCAATTTTAAAAAAAAAAAAAAAAGACAATGAGTCAGAATATTAGTAGCCTCCATTCCAGAATTTATTTTTTAAATAATTGGCTCTTACACAGTGTTTTTGATTGGTAGTCTAGAACTGTAGTCTTCAAAGCTGGATGGGCAAGATAGTGTTTGGAATCCAAGAAGAAAATATTTAATTTTTCTCCTCTTTTTAAAATATGTTTTGTAAATTGTATAATGAATATAGTATGTGGATACAGCAGTCTATAGTTACGGCAGCCATAGCTGATTAATACAGATCTTGGTATCTAGAAGTGGGGTGCTGCCATAACAGACACTAAGAATGTGGAAGTGGCTTTAGAACTGGCTAATGAGTAGGGGTAGAAGAGCTTTAGGTACATGCTCGGAAAAGCCTACATTGCCCTGCAGACACTGGTGGTAGGACTGTGGACATTAAAGATGATTCTGATGAAGTGTGATGAAGATGGAAATAATGAACATGTTGGAAGCTGGAGGAAAGGCGGTCCTTGTTATAAAGTGACAAAGAACTTGGCTGAACTGTCTTCTAGTGTTTTGTAGAAAGGGGAAGTTAAAAGTGATGAACTTGGATATTTAGCTGAGACAATTTCTAAGCAAAATGTTGAAGTATGGCCTGGTTTTTCCTTACTGTTTATAGTAAAATGTGAGAGCAGAGATCAATTGAAGGAATTGTTCAGCAAAAGGAACCAGAATCTGAAGATTTGGGAAATTCTCAGCCTATCTCTATTGTAAAAAATGGGGAAGCATGTTCTGGAGAGATCGCCAAGGGTGTTGACTGGACAGTCACTTCGTGAAGAGATTATTCATGGATTTAATCAGCCATCTCAGCAGAAGCTAGGAATAGAGATGGGATTATACCAACAGCATACTGCTAATTTGAATCCAAGGGCAAGATGGGATGAGATATAGGAAGGCCTCAGACTTCTGGGTTTCTAGGGATGAGACAGTAGCACTGTCCAGCTGTGAACATGCCTTATCCTTCAAGAGAAGGGAAGAATGACTAAGGGTGCTTCACCTATCAGCAGGGCAGCCATTGCCACCACAGGCTCAGAGCACACAAGCCCAGGTATCAAGGCTGTCTCCTAAGTGGTTTCAGAGGGAGGGGCCACCTCCTTGGTTTCAGTTGTCCAGGCTGCCCCTGCTCAGGGCCTCAGGAGCAAAGCCACTGCCAGTGGCCAAGGGAGCATGAATGCCACTCAAATGGTGAAGGGGCAAGGCCCGCCCTGTTGGCCTGGAAAGCATGGCTAACAGCCCATTGGGCCTGGAGGGCAGAGCATCAAGCCAGAGAGGATTATTCTTGAGCCCGAAGATCTAATGTGATTTGCCCTGCTAGGTTTTGGACTTGCTTGACACCTGTCACCCCTTTCTTTCCGATCTTTCCCTTTTGGGATAAGGGTGTCTGTTCTATGCCTATCCCACCATTATATTTTGGAAGCACATAACTTGTCTTGTTTCACAGATTTACAGCTAGAATGGAATTTTGCCTCAGGATGAATCTCACTTATGAGACTTTGAATGTGTAGTTGATGCCAGAGTGGGTTAAGACTTTTGGGGCTATTTGGATGGGGTGAATGAATGTATTTTACATGCAGGAGGAATAAATTTTGGGGACCCAGAGGTAGAATATTATGGACTGAATTGTGTCCCCTCAAAATTCTCATGTTGCAACTCTAACTTCCAATGTGACTATATTTGGACATAGGGCCTTTAAGGAGTTAATTAAGGTTAAATGAGGTCATAAGGGTGGGCCTCGAATCCAATAGGACTGGTGTCCTTATCAGAAGAGGAAAAGATACCAAGAGTGCATGCACATGCTTAGAAAAGAGGCCTTGTGAGGACACAGAAGAAGGCATCAGTCTGCCAGCCAAGAAGACATGCCTCAAAGAAACCAACCCTGCTAGCACCTTGATCTTGGATTTCCAGCCTCCACAACTGTGAGAAAATAAACTTCTGTTAAGCCACCCAGTCTGTGGTATTCTGTTACAAATACAATAGAGAAGCATGCCCTCCCTGCCATTTTAAAAAAAATTGATAGATATACACAGTCAAAAATGTTTTGTGAACTGCTGAATTAAAGACTAATGAAATTCATTTTAGGATCAGACTTCTTAATGACAATTTTCACATCATGGGAGAAATAAAGAATATAGGAAAAGAATAGAGGCATTATCTGTTAAGTTTCTCCTGCAGGAAGAATTGAACCTCTACTAATTTTTCTTATGAATAATAGTATTTATAAGCAAAGTACTGGAGACAAATGTAATTATCAATGGTGCCTGAGCCTCAGAAGGATAGACAGTAACAATTAATGCTGTATTTCAAGGGTGTACCATGGTTCCTGGCCTCCGGCAACTGAATCAATAGTTGTCAACTGACTAATTTGAAATGTCACGAACTGTGACTTTGATGCATTTAACTTCTTTAAACAATACAAAATAAAATTACTTGGACTTTTGCTGCTGACCATAATGGAGGGACAGGACCAGATTTATCCTTCCTCTTAAAATATCAGACAAAACATATGAAATACCTGTTTTTAAGACCTTGGCTATCAGGCAGTGAATGATACTGATTCATCCGTTGAGATGGGTGCTGTGTTTGCTCCAGCTGACTGCCTGAAGGGAGTTTCCAGACTGCAGCGCATGCAGCCCTGCAGCCCCCGGAGGTGAGGAAATAGACGTAGGAGTCTGGAGAGGCCAAGGTGGCTAGATTTCACAGGGCAGCCAAAATCCAAGGAAATCAAACCATTAAAAAACCATAGGAGAAAATTTAAATCACCTTTGGTTTGGCAATAACTTCTTAGATGTAACACCAAAAGTACAGTCCATGAAAAAAATTGATGCGTTATACTTTGTCAAGATTGAAAAACTTCTGCTTTGTGAAAGACCTTAAAAGAATGAAAAGAAGAGCCACAGACTATTAGAAAATACTTGTAAATCTCAGATAAAGGGCTTATATTTAGAATATATAAAGGACTCTTAAAACTGCACAAGAAAACCAACAACCTGATTTAAAAATGTGCAAAAGCTCTGAACCGTCACTTCATTGAAGAAAATAAACAGATGGTAAAGAGGCATAAGAAAGGTCTTCGATATCACATGTCATGAGGGAAATGAAAATTAAATCACACGAGATACTATAACGTGTTTGTTAGAATGACTGAAATCCAAAAACACTGACAGCAAATTGGTGACAAGGACATAGATCCACAGGAGCTTGCGTTCATTGCTGATGGGAATGCGAAACGGTACAGCAGCCTTGGAAGACTTGCACAGTGTCTTATAATGACCCAGCAGCCACATGCCTACACATTTCCCCGAGTGATGTGAAAACTTACGTCCACACAAAAACCTATCACTAATGTTCTAACACCATTATTTATAATTGCTAAAAACTGGAAGCAACAAGATGTCTTACAAGGGGAATGGATAAACTGGTAAATCTGTACAATGGAATATTATTCAGCGATTAAAAGGAACAAGCTATTGATTCATGCAAAAACATGGATGAATTTTGAATTAATTTTACTAAGTGAAAGAAACAAGCCCCAAAAGGCTACATATTGTATCATTCTGTTTATATGAAATTCTGGAAAAGGCAAAACTCTAGGGATGGAAAACAGATTAATGGTTCCTGGGTGTTAGGTGGGGAAGAGTGGTTCACTACAAAGCAGATGCACAGGAGAACTTTTCATGTGAAATAGCTGTTACGTGAGGTACTGTGTGTTCTGTCTGATGGTATGTGTTTGTCAAACCCTAGAACTGTACATCCTCACAAAGAGAAAACCTGAAGATACACACACTAAACACAAGTCAACCAGGATGTGGGGCGTTTCCCAGGATGGACTGCAGCCTGTGGCACATGATTCTCATTGTATTACAAATGAATGGCATGGCCACACTGAAGGAGGTGGGGGAAGAGGAGCTGACCTAAGTACCTTAGGAAATGGCTATTTTTCAGTGGAAATTCTAAGCCTAAATACAAAAGGAACCGTATACAAGTACTGTTTGGGTTTTTGTTGTTGTTTTTTTTCCACAGGGGTACGGGCTAAAAGTTCTTTACATATATATTGGGGTTGAAGAAATAAGTACGTAAATGGATGTCGGATGTTGGCTCTTGGAAGCCAGGTTTCTCAGTGTTGGAGAGGGGAGTTATAGATACACAAGAAAGAAAGACTAAAATGAAACCTGTGGTACTGGGTTAGTCAGAAACATGAGTGTGAATCCATGTTTGGATGAAGGGATGGATACAGAAAAGTGTGTGTGTGTGTGTGTGTGTGTGTGTGTGTGTGTGTGTGTGTGCGCGCGCATGCGTGCACGTGGGTACACGGGTTATTATACATGTATATATTACATGCATAGCTCTGTTCACCAATAGAGTGAAGAAGCAACAAAACCCCAGTAGTGACAATGACAACCAGTGCCCAGATTGTGGTTCCTAAATATTCTAAAATAAAAGAAACCAGAGCTCTTTAGAGAAATGACTGATTTTAGGACTGGGCGGGGAAAATACAAAATGAGCTTAGAGCATGTTGTAGTATCAGAAACTAAGGATGTTCAGTAAACCAAAGGATTGTTGGAGGGGCATGTCTGACCGAGACCAGCTCGCTCACCCGGCATCCCTGCTCATCAGCAAGCAGCTCACGGAAAGGGTACCTGAGAGGATTGGGTGGGAGACGAGAAATAAAGAGAAGAGAGACAAAAGCTGGGAGCAGGAGGGCCTCAGCCTGCTGGTGACAGACTAAGACCTCGTTTATTGGAAAGGCTCTGGTTATATAGGCAGTAAGTTCCTCTTTGTGTAGGGGAATTCAGCAGGGGGCTTCAGCAGGGGGCTTTGGGTGTAGGCATACAGAAACCAGGAACTAGGGCCTGGGATAGAAACTGTAACAAGTCCATGGTGGAAAGGCCCGGAGCATTGTTTCTATTTTGGGGGTGTATTAAGCCTAGTGTATGCAGTTACTAAGCAGGCTCTCTTATCCTGCCATTCTTTTAGGCATAGAGTCCTGCATGGAGGCATGTAGCAGTTTGCCACAGCCTCAGTATCCCCAACTGTCCTCAATTGACTCCCAACAATGTCAGAGGCACACAGGAGCTAATTTAAGAGCTGTCCTGTTCAAGCACGGATTCGAGTTCTAAAATTTTTTAATTTGCATTTCTTTAATTGCTAGTAATGCTAAACTTTTTTTGGGGGGGGCATTTATATTTGCTTTGTGACCATCGTCTCATTTTTCTGTAGGGGTATTAGTTTTCTAATTGATTTGTAAGAGCTCTTTATATATGAAGTACATTACACTTTTTTCATATTTCTTGGGGGTTTTTTTTGGTGGTGGTAGTGGTTCTTGGTTTTGTGTTTTTGTTTTTTGTGGTTTTTTTTTTTTTTTTAGCTGAACCATCCTGCCACCTGTTGGCAGCTCAGCGGCAACTCAGCCCGGGCCGGGACTCGAACCGCTATTGCTCAGAGCTCGCACTCTTGCGCGAGCTCTTAACCAACTGAGCCACTCGACCGGTCCCTTATCATATTTCTTATACTAATATTTTTAGATATTTTAGAGTTTGTTTTCCTTGTGTATAAGATAGGTGAATTTTTTTTTCATGCTTGCTTCTAGTGATCAGTTCTATGAATTCATGTTGTCCCATAAAGAGGCAGCAAGCACTACTAATTAAATACCTACTGAAAGCTGTTACAATGATAAAATCTACTTGCTCAATATTCTTTTAGATTCAACTTCTATTGCGACAGAATATTCCCTGAAATTTGATGAATCCATGACAGAAGATGAAATAGAAGAAAAATCATTTAGATCTTTACTACCTTCTGAGAGCCATCGCAGATTTAACATGGAAAAGAAAAGAGGCCATCATGATGATTCTGATGAAGAAACCTCCCCAGAAAAGACTACACTATCTTCTGCCAAGGTGAGTTTCAGTTTACCTGTGGCGATGCTTCGTAAGTAGTTGTGAATGTGTTCTCTCAAACATATGAGGATACATTTTGTACTTGAACTCAATTGTCAGCTACCAGAATAATTTTCCTAAGATACCAATTTTATGTTACATTTTTGCTTTAGAATCTGGCATTGCTTTCCTTACAAAGTAGAATACAAACTTATTCCTTGGAATAACATATAAGGCCTTTGAGGATCTGAGCCAAAGTTCTCTCTTTAGTTTTTTCACCTGCGTCACTCAGAAAACTTTATTCCATTTAAAAGTTTATATTTATGTCATTCTTCTTACTAAATTGTAAGCCTTTTGGATAACAGAGACACATTTTTACCCCGCTTTATAGCCCTGGCATAGTACCAAGCTCACAATAGTTGTTTGCTAAAATTTTATTGGCTGTATAAATTAGCAGATAAATGTTATTTCCACTCATGTGCCTTTTTTGAAGAATGTCTCTTACATGGTTGGCAACATTTTAAATTTATTTTATTTATTTAATTGTATTTATTTTTATAAGTGCACACCTCTTTTAATGAAGTTAATTAAGTTCCAAAAGGTTTAGATGGTGGTGATAAACTCAAACTCTCTACTGTAGGAGCTGAGCATGCCGTTCTCAGGAGGACAAGATAGCTTTTCTAAGTTTACTATGGAGATGGTTCGACAGTATATGAAAGAAGAAGAAATGAGGGCAGCTCACCAGTCTTCACTCCTGCGTCTCCGTGAAAAGGCCTTGAAGGAGAAAACGAAGGCGGAGTTAGCCTGGCTAGAGCATCAAAAAAAGTACGTTCTTTCAGTGAACAGTTTTCACTCTTCAGTTTCTCCTTGCATTAAAAGGAAATGCTTTGCTTTTTAAAAATGTTTTTGTTCCCTCATTTCATTTGATTTGATCACCCCCATTTAATAAGCTAGAAATGTGGCAGTCATCCCTGAATCATGTTATTTTCAAGACCTCTTACTCATATAATGTTTTTTTTGCATTTCTCTTTTATTACTTAACTGACTCTTATTTTATATTGAGTTCCTTTATTATGTTGTAAATTTCTCAAAGCCTTTTTTCTCTTTAAAAGACACAGTTCAGGGTTTGCATGTATTATTTAGGCAGTAAAATAATCATTGGGATAGGAATTGCTGCATGTAGCAACTGTTCTCCATATTTGAAAATATTTAATTAGTTTAGAGATTTTTTAATTGGTCAAGAATTCTTGACACTGAAATAGAAATGTAATCTAATCTTTGCCTCAATGGGAAATATTTGCAGACATCTACGAGACAAAGGAGAAGATGATAAAATGCCCCCACTCCGGAAGAAGCAGCGTGGTTTGCTCTTAAGGTTGCAGCAAGAAAAGGTATGTTAGGAAAAATACTCCTTTAAGAGAACTTATCATAAAGCCAGTTAGATTACGGAATTTGTTGTTTTGCCCAATCTCTTTTTCTAATCATCACCTTAAATGAGATTTAATTGATATTTATCACTGTTTATGCCTATACTACTATAATTACAGGAGTTGCTTGGTAGTCTACCATATTTCTCCTAAATTAGAATTATGTGTCACTGCGAATTTAATATAATAGAGTAAAAAATTCTGCCTTCATTTAGTATATAAAATAAAATAATCCTTTGAAATACATATTTTAAAAATTAAGATATTTGTAAAAGAGTCTACTTGGATTAATTTTTTAGTCATTATTTTCCCAAATAGGTTTTTCAAAACATATTAATTACAAATTGACAAATATTTTGGCTTAGTGGACTCAGAAAGACCTGGGATTTGAATCCTGGAGAGGCATCGTGGTGTAGTGTTAAGAAGTCAGGCTCAAGAGTCAGGTTGCCTGGGTTGAAAATCCCAAATCTTGCAATTATTAGTTTCAGAACTTTGAACAAGTTACTTAACTTCTCTGTGCCTCAGTTTCCTTATCTATAAACTGAGGATAATAATGATAACATACATTGTAGGATTTGGGGGAGGAATAAATGAGTTAATACATACAAAAAACTTAGAACAGCCCTTGGCACAATAGTAAGTGCACAAAAAAGGTTAGTTGTTACTTGAATTCCAGCTTCGTCATTTGCAACTGTGTGATTATGGTTAAGTTTAAGTAACTCTCCTAAACTTAATTTCCTCATCTGTAGGCATAAGATATACTTCATATGGTGGTTGTGAGGATTAATATGTTAATGGGTTTCACATTGCCCGGTAAATATTCAACAGATTCTAATTTTGTTTCTTCTTGTTGACTAGTCTCCAGGTACTAGCTACTGTGTTAGATGATCAGTGAACTTAATCATCTGCGTTATATGTTGGATTATTACTTAAGTAGCTTTTTTTTTAATTTGCCCTAGGAAACATCACTGATCATGTGAACCTGAAAAAATTCTGAACTTTATTTTTTTAAAAACAAGTTATATTTTTTTAGCCTATAAAAATTCATTTTAAAATAACAAAATTCTTTCTTAGTTAAAATAAGTAAATTACTTTTTACAATGTTGCAATAGCTTTCTGTTTGTAAAATAGAATAAAAAGAGAATTTACAGATATTATCTCTCATTCTGTGGGGTTTTGTTTTCACTTTAACAGTGTGCTTTGAAGTACACAGTGTTTTCATTTTGATGCATCTATTATTGCATGCCTGCTAATAACACATTTAGTTTTTTTTTAGTTTGAAAATGTATTTGTTTCACCTTTATTTTGAAGGATTTTTTACTGGCTATAGAATTATTTTCTTTCAGCATTTTTTAATGGTCATTTTCCATTGTTTTTGTGGAGAGGTCAGTTTTCTTAATGTTGCTCTTTTGAAGGCTGCTTTTAAGATTTTTAAAAATGTGTCTGATTTTTCAGTAGTTTTACCTTGATGTGCTTAGGTGTGGTTTCTTTTGTATTCATACTATTTAGGGTTTGGTGAGTTCCTCGAATCTGTTTGTTTGTTGTATTTCATCGGTTTTTGAAAATTATCTCTTCTTGTGCTGCTTCTGCCCCATTTTCTCCCTCTCCTTCAAAGGCTCAAAGTAGACATTTGTTAGACCTTTTCATTTATCACATCTCTTTTCTACTGTTTTGTTTTCATATTACTCTTTAAAACAATTTTTAAAAGACTGCTTCAATTTGGAAAGTTTTTATTGACCTGTCTTTGAATTTATTAGTTATATGTTCTGTACTGCCGTGTGTACTGTTAAATCCATTTGATGAGTTCTTAAATTTGATTTTTTGAGTTCTATAATATCCATTTTGTTCTTATAGATTTTAATTCTGTGTTGAAATTCTCTATCTTTTCATCTATTTTTCTATATACTTTTGAATACATCATTCATAGTTACTTTAATTGCCTTGTCTGCTAATATTTGGACATCTATGTGTCTGCTTCTATTGTCTGTTTTTACATTTTATCATTCCATGATCCTTTTTGCCTGTCTAGTAATTTCTTATTGACTGCTAGACACTGTGTATAAATAACTGCAAAGGCTTCAGGTAATGTTATCTTCCCCCAGTGAGGATTTATCCTCTCCTCTGCTATGCAGTTAGATTGGTCAGCTGTTCGCTTTAACCCATTCAAAGGCTGAGCTGGGTTAACGTTGGGTTGCAGAGTTGGTAGCTTCAGGCTACTTCAACTTTGCATTGACCCTGGGTTGTGACCCTCCAGGGATTTCAGTTGAAAGCCAGGCAAACCTTTTGACCAGCACAAAAGACTGGGGATTGTTGCGCTGCTGCTGATGAGAAGTTTCTGGTTTAGCTCCTCGGTCTTCAGAAGTGACAGATACATGGAGGGGGAGATAGTGAGTTGGAAGCCTCTTAAGTCTCCAGTTTTGTCATTCCAGTTCTGTGTAGCTGGTGGGAATGTTAACTAGTGTAACCACTTTAAGAACAATTTGATTATATCTAGTTAAGTTGAATGCACATAATCTATGACTCAGCAGTTCTGTGTCTTGGTATATACTCTAGAGAAGCTTTCATACATGTACAGGGGAAAATGGAAACAACTTAATTTCTTCAGTAAGAGAATAGATGAAAAAGTGTATTCCTGCAAGAAAGCATAATGCTACAGAAAAATGAATGCATCAGATATCAGCACTGTACAGTAGAGATTTCTGAAATGATGGTAGTGCCTATATTTATGCTATTAGCCACATGTCATTTTTGAATACTTAAAATGTGGCTACTACAACTGAGAAACTGAAATTTGAATTTCATTGAATTTGAATTAATCTTAATTTAAATAGCTACATGTAACTAGTGGCTATCATTTTGAATAGTACAGCAGATCTCCATTTATCAAAAATCATAGTATTGGTTTTTATAGAAAAGCAAGATGCAAAAGAATATGTGCAGTCTGATACCATTCTTGTTAATTTCTAAAAATCACCAATCAGCAGTGTATGTTCTGCGGAATCACTCATACATCAAAAGTACACAAGCAAGTGTAGGAATGATATACTTCTGGGGAGGAAATGGAAGAAGAGATTGGGTGGAGTTTAGTTTCATTGGTGATGGTTTATTTATTTATTTTTTTTTTTAGCTGAGCCATCCTGCCACCTGTTGGTAGCTCAGCGGCTGCTCAGTTCGGGCCGAGACTCGAACCGCTGTTGCTCAGAGCTCAAACTCTTGAGCGAGCTCTTAACCAACTGAGCCACTCGGCCGGCCCTATGGTTTATTTTTTTAAAAGAGAGATTTAAAACAAATATGGCAAACTTTTCAATCCCAGTAGAGTAGGTGTTTGAGTGACTAATTTTCTGCATATTATGTTTGTAGAACTTCAGAATGTTTTTTAAGTAAATGTGCAAAAACTACTCTTTGATCTAACTGGCTACCCTTGGAAGGTTACCCTACAGAAATAAAAACACCGGAGTAGAAGGATACATGTACTAAGATATTTATTGCAGTTGTATTAATAAGAATTATTTTGGCTGATAGTGATATGGCTGTGAGCAATTTGACCATATATCTTTGCATAACTATGCAAAAAAGAGAACATATTTTCCTATGTTGTCATCTCCTCCCCATTCCCATTCCCCTCTTCCTCCTCTTTTTTTTTTTAATTTGGTGAAATTCATGTAACAGAAAATCATCATTTTAAAGTGAATAATTCACTTATACCCTTAACCATTTTAAAGGGAATAAGTCCCTTGTTTAACTTTATGGCTTATTTTTAAAAGAGAAGCAAACCTATTTATCCCTAAAATCTGCTTGAAAAAGTCTCTTCTTCTACGCTCAGATTGCGTGAATTTATACATTAATTGGTTCAGAAACTCAAGCCTAAGCTAGTAGCAGTTTTCAAAATGTGTTCTGTGGAATTCTGGGGGTCTCTTGAGACCTGTCCTAGGTAAGTGGGTCAAAACCATTTTCATAATGATAGTGGGATATGAATTGGCCCTTTTCATGTGTTGACATTTTCACTAACTGGTACAAAAACAATGGTGAGTAAAACTACTGGTGCTATATCAGGGCAGTGGCACCAGCTTGGACTGGTAGCTGTTATATTTGTCTCTGCCACACTTGCAGCTAAAAATAGCTACTTTCACTGAAGAATGCCTTGATTACATAATAAAAGTCATTAATTTTATTGAGTGTTGGCCTTTGAGTACTTGTTTTCCTATTTTGAGTGACAGAAATGGGAAGCCCGCCCTTAAGCACTGTCCCTGGATACCAGAGCACAGGGATGAGGAACTCAAGAAGCATTTGTGCAGTTCTTTGAGTTGCAAGCTGAACTAGCCACAGTTTTACCCAGGATACTGTTTTTACTTGAAAGAACTATTCAGAGACAAAGCTTATTAAGAGTTGAGTATTTGGCATTCATTTTCTTAAAAATGAACAAAGTGTGCCTGTCACTTCAGAGAAAGCAGCTGACAGTATTTGTTGCCAATGGTAAAATTCAAACTTTCAAGCAAAAGTCAGAATTTCAAAAATTTCTATCCACCACCTAATACAGTACTAAAGAACTTTTCTTTTGAGATTGGCAGTGATATTAATGAATGTAATTTTTTGATATTGTATAATGAAATGTGTCAACATTTGGAAACTCTCATAAGTCATTGAACCAATATTTTCTAAAAGACCAATGCATGATGTTAAAAAAAAAAATCAAGCCAGACAATAGATTTGCAAATCTATAAATACTATTCTTTCTACTAAATTTTATTTTGTTTTGGAAAATATAGTTATTTTCTTAAAAATACATGTGATGCCATTGTATACTCATGAGAGAATGAGAGTGAAAAAGGGCTAGCAATGTCTTAGTACCATTAAGATAGTTGGATCCTGAGAGACCCTAAAAGGATCTCAGGGACCCCAAGAGGGTCCATGAACCATATTTTGAAAACTGCTGCTTCACGGAAACTCATATGCATGCCCAAGAAAACAAATAACATAAGGATGTTCATTGTAGCATTATTTGTGATAATAGACAACAACCTTATCCAACCATAGGGGTAATGGATAAATGAAATACATACCTATACCTCCAATGTAATTTTATGCAGCATGTAGATATGAGAGATAGCAAAAGCAATGTCTAGCAAATAAAACAAGATTGAAAATATGTATATTATAAAATGTTTAAAAACATACAATCCAACAGTATATGGTTGTGGGTCTTTTTTTGTTTCGTTTTTTTGTGGGGGAGTATTTTTGTGTGTTTTTTTGCAGATAAGTACAAATATTTGTAGAAATTAAAAAGAATGTGCTGGAAGGATATGTGCCATCATAGTGGTTACTTCTAAGGAGTTGGGGCAGGGAATTGCAGACTGGTTTCATCTGTAATGTTTAATTTCTTTATGAAATTAAAGACTAGGAGAAAATATGACAGACTATTAACAATTGTTAATTTGGGATTTTGGAAATTAGATGTTTATCGTGCACTATTCTACATTTTCAGATAGTTTAAAAAATCTCTTAAACATGATTAAAAGAAATGACAAGTAACAAATTATTGTCTTTATTATGCTTATTTTATTGACAAGAAAACAGATTAAAACAAATTTTTTTGGGAAAAAAAAGGACAGTCTCTGCTAAATTTTAACAGTGAGCTATATCATCTTTTGCTCACTTAATGAGCAACAGAAAACTTCCTAATACTCTTTGTGCAGAGGGTTTGGTACATTGTAATCCTAAATGTTTCTGGTGGCATTTTAAGTGGAGACAATTCTTTTTTTTAAAGAAATTTTAAAAACTTTTATTTATTTTTTTATTTTTATTGGGGAATTGGGGGATGGGAACAATGCTGGGGAATTGGGGGAAGGGGAATAGACAAGTTGCTATCCTTTTGTTCTTCAATCTAGTTGTGGAGGATGTTGCTTCACTGGCCCAAGTTGGCACCATCATTGCGCTCTTCCAGGGTGAGGCAAATCAGTCGCCGGCTTCTGGACGGCCGCTCACAGTGGCTGCAGGCTGCTCACGCTAGTTGCTGGCTACACACGGTAACCCATGGCAACCCACTGCCACAGGGGCTGCAGCCTATGCCTGCCAGCTACTCACGGCAGCCCAGCTCCAGGTTGAGCTGTTGTTCAGCATCTTAGCTGTAGAGGGCAGTGTCACTGGCCCTCATATGTGGGATCTGAACTGGGGCCCTCTGGCGTCCCAAGCCAGCTGTTAACCAACGCGCCACTCGGCCGGCCCTAAAAACTATTTTAATGGCCATAAAATGATTCATTTTCTTTGACTTACTGGTCCTTCTTTTGGGAATTTCTCATAACTAATCAGTAGTATGAAACAATTGTAGATAAGAAAGCATTATTGACAATGATAAAAAATGACAAAGGGCCTCAGAGGTTAGCAATAGAATAGACTAGAATTCCTCATTAATGAGTTTACTTGATATGCAACTAAGAAATAAGTGTAAAGACTGAGCAGCCCCATGGAAAAATGTAAAGGGTATATTAAGTTTAAAAAGGGGCTATGACATCATCAGTCTGTTGTAATTACAACTATTTAAATTAAGGGAGCATGTTAAGTTATTTTAGATAAGAGATTTGTGATTCTTTTCCTTTTCATGTCTTTAAAATTTTTCAGTGTTAACTGCTTTTATCTGGAAATACTGTATGTGTTTATTTTAGATATAATGTAATGAATGGATTTTGTTTTAAAAATATTCCATTAAATTTGTCTCCTCCACATCTCAATCCCTCTTCTAACTCTTTAAACCTTAGGCAGAAATTAAACGTCTTCAAGAAGCCAATAAGGCAGCTCGGAAGGAAAGACAACTGATTCTTAAGCAGCAAGAGGAGATAGAAAGGATCCGACAGACCACCATAAAACTACAGGAGAAGTTAAAGTCTGCAGGGGAGAATAAATTGGTAAACTTCATGAAATTATTATTTCTTTGTTTTCTGCCCCATGCTGCTTGCTAATATGTAACCCTTCTAATGTGATGGGTATGTTCATTCTAGCATTTTGATACAATAAGGAACTAGGACAAATTTTTATGTATGTGCCTTTATGTTTAGGACTCATGTATTGAACTCATGTATTGGACATGTGCCATATGTATTGGACTCATGGCTCATATATTAGTTTAAGAGTGTTTTCCATTTATAAACTCAGTTGGGACAGAGAGCCTTACTGTTTATTACCAACCCAGATACATTCATCAGAATTAATGAGACCATTTTTACTCTCTATATAATACTTACTTCAGCTATCCAATGTTAATGTAATGATACATGATTTGAAGGAGATACTCAGACAATAAACAAAATTTGGATCTATTCTAAGATACTCTAAAGTGTCAATATAGCTAGTGTTGGAAAACCCAGACTGTATAACAATATAGTTAAATAAATCTCTAGTATCCTCTGCTTTGATTTTTAAAATACACTTTAAATTTTGAAACAATCAAATTTATAGAAAATTTCAAACACAGTATAAAGAACTTTCTTGAGCTAAGAGTATGTTGCTAACAATCAACATTGACACATTACTGCCATCTAATCTGCAGACCTTGTTTCAGATTGTCCAATTGTCACAATAATGTTCTTTACATCAAAAGGTCAGTTCAGAACCACATATTGCATTTAGTTCTCATGTCTCCTTAGTTGCATTCAGGCTGGAAAAGTTCCTTGACTCATGACCTTGACACTTTGGAAGATTAAATGCCAGTTATCTTGTAGAATGTTCTTCAACTTGGGTTTGTCTGAGTTTTTCACATAATTAGATTCAGATTGTGCATCTTTGCAGAAATATCACATAAGTAATGGTGCCTTTTGATTGATCAAATTGCTGATGTTGACTTGATTACTTGGTTAAGGTGGCATCTACCGGACTTTGCTGTAAATTTATTCTCTTTCCCTTTGTAATTATTAAGTACCTTCATGGAGGTATTTTGATACTACATAAATTCCTGTTCTTTATCAAATTTAAATTTATTCTTTTATTTTATGGACTCATGGAGTCCTATTTTACTCAGCATTACAATCTGTTACTACCATTATTTGTTTTGATGCTCATTTGTCCCAAATTGGACCATTAGAAGCCTCTTCAAGCAAGTTTCTGTGTCCTTCTGACATGTCCTTATGAGTCTTTGAGCACTCATGTTTTCTGGAACAAGATGTTTCAGGGTCGTCTTGTATTCTGCCTGCCCAGCCTTAGAATCAGCCATTTCTCCAAGAAGGAAAGTTATTTGGAACCAAGATGTGGTGCTAAGCATGTTCATTGCTGTTCAGGTTTTTCTCCTCCTGAGCAGCAGTCTAGGGTATATAGAAGTATATGTTGCTGTAGAGAAATACATACATTTTACATGTGTATTTATTTCTATGTGTTTATATACATATACCTTATATGTATTATGAGTTCATACGGATAAATCAGGAGTTCATACTGATTCTTTCAGTTCCAATCCAGCAATCCATTTTTCTCCCTTTTGGCACTTCCTTCCTACCCCGCCTAGGCTCTGACGCCTTGAGTCAGGCTCTATTCCCCATCCCCTTCCTCTCCTCTAAACCTTCCTCTTTGGACTCTGTTCTCCAGAATCCCACCTCATCCTGTTTGGGCTTATGACTTGCTGGGTAGGACCACTCCCGCGTGGACATCCTCATTGCCCTACCTGGGCTCTGACACCCTACTTAGGCCACCTGCCTGTGTTAGATGCTCTCCTCATCCCACTCAAGTTGGAAGACCCTACTCTTAGCCCCTTTGTCTTTTTCCATCTGATCCTAGTCCATCTAATGAGTTTAGGACTGAATTGTTCAGAAAGGGGTGAGGGAAGGAGAAGGGCTCTGCTTTGTGTTGTTCACAGAATAAAAAGTCGTCATTGTCGCTACCCATATTTCTGAAAAGTTAAGAGAATAAATGATTATTTGTGGGAAAGCTTTACTGAACAATTAAAGTTTTACTTTTGTTCATCAGAAATAACATATTGATTAAACCAGTGGTTCCTAAATGTTTTCATTATAAATTTTTAATTTGTGAAAACGTTTTCTATAAGAACAATTTAAAGAAAAAGATCTATCCAGCAATATGATTAAAATAAGTTACATGTTCCCTTCATTTGTGTCTGTACATACATGTTTTATATAGTTACAGTCTGTAATTTTATATCCTTTTGAGTGGTTCAACTTTTTAAAATTAGGACATTTAGATACTAAATTACTAGTAGCAAAAGTTTTTATTTTTTTTTACATCTTTGAAAAAAATTATTACACTTTGTAATTATATATACATATATGTAAAATATACATAACATAAAATTTATATTTTACCAATTTTTAAATGTATGATATAATTTTGTCTTTTAAGTAATGCCATAATTTCAGCTATTTTACAAATACTGTTTTGAAGGTAAGCTTAATTTTGAAGTGAGAATGTTTATGATCACTTTGAGATCTTAAATTCCAGTAAAATTATGACACTTGGCAAACCCTTTTGTTTGCAGGACTCTCATAGTGACGATGATACGAAGGATGATAAGGTGGTCAGTCCTGGTCCCACTGACTTGGAAACCCGCAGCCCCTCTCCCATTTCAATCTCCAGCAGTGAAACTAGCAGCATTATGCAGAAACTGAAGAAAATGCGAAGCCGCATGGATGAAAAGTAATTAATTTTTTATAAATACCTCCTGTTACATTGAAAGGAGCACCAGCAAATAATATTTGTAATGTAGTTCATTAGATTAGATTGATACAACATACTGTTTTATGGCTTCGTTTTATGGATTCGTACTATTGGGTTGTTGGAAAAGGCATGATTTTTTTTTCTGTTTTTCGTTGCAAAAATGTGTCATGATTTTTTTCAACAACCCAATATTTTATGGTAGCATTTTAGCAGAACTATTAAATCAATTTAGAAGTCAATCAACTATAGATCTTATTTATAAAACAAATTTTCTTGTTTTTAATACGGCCAGGTTTCTTATTTTAAAAACCAAAGAAATATTTGTACATATACCCATGACCATGTTTTCTTCTTTCTTTTATTAAAAGTTATGAGTAAGTGTGAAATTTGTGCCTTCTCTGAAATCTGAGGACATGTCGACTCACTTGGGGGAGCAATTACTAACACATCCTGTGAGTGAGATCTCATCCTGTGGCTCTGAGCTCGCAGTCTTGTTCAGATAGAAGAGTGGAAGTTGGCCCTGTGAGTAGGTGTGGATTGCTCAGCTGAAACCAGGAAGACTGAATTCTCCTGGGGTGTTGACTGATCTGGCACGTGACCATTCTTCTAAAACATTTCTAAGCGTTATTTTTTAAAGGTCCTCCTAAAGAAAGCTACTTGTACTTAGATGTAGTTCAGTTGCACATCAGCTTTGACCATATAAAATGACATTTATGTGAGAGTCTTTGAGGTGTACATTTAATTAAATACACTGGTAAATTAGCTGGTGTGGACCCTATTTTTTACTTTATAACCTCTACCTCCTTTAAATATGGAAGAGAGGGCCATTGCAAATTTGCTGCATTTGTAAGTTAGCAGTTTGAACCAGAGATTGAACTTAAGTTGTATCTGGATATCCTTTGGCAGTGTACCACACATCACCAAATTTAGTAATGTCTATATTCACATGTGGTGTTAACCTATGATTTAATTAGTTTCTGAGCAGTCAAGCAGTTGTAAGACAAATCTTACTATAGGTGCAGCATTGTACGTTGGCACTTCATTGCTTCATTGAAATTGCATTTTAATAACTTAATATTGGCATTTCATACCTAAATTGATTATGAAACTAAGTTTTAAAAATAAATACAAATTATAAAAATAAAAAATATAAGGGGTAAAAGTAAATAAATATTCACCAATGTGTAAATATTCCTATTGGATGATTTCCATGGGTCAGACTAATTAAGGCTTTTTCAAATAGGAATTTATTGAAATTTAGATGAAGGATGCTTTCTTCTTTCCTGATAAAATTTTCCAATAGCTTGTATAGAGGCATGCTCTGTTGCTCCAGGGATCTTTGAATTCAGAATAATCTGTCATAAATTTTCATAACTGAGTTGACATTCATATTATATCTGCCTCCAAATGTCTTCGAATGGTAAATGTTGGAGGCAAGACAACTTCCTGGGTAATATCTTCATTGATCCCTTGCTTGTCTGTATCAGTAAGGTCTTCATTGCTGGTCTCTATGAGCAATAATCTAATAGTTTTAATCACACCTGTAGAAGAAACTGCTAATCCATGTCTCTGTGAGATTAGTTTCTGGGGTGCCTATATCAGATTTGGTTAAAGCTTGACAAATTCAAGGTTGAATTTATTTACTTGTTTTATTAATTATTTTCTGAGACTCTAAAGTATTAAACACCTAGAATTTTTGTAGTATTCTCTCTTCCTTTGGCAGCCACTGCAGTAAACTTTTGAGAAGTTTGTCAGAGAGAATAGGCCTTGAAGCATTTAGTGACTTCTTGATTTGTTGTTTGCAGCGATGGAGTATGTTTGTGGATAGGGATGGGTAAGGACAGCAGTGGCAAAGAAATGAGCTTATAGGTTTGGATGATGGTGCTAAAATGTGAGGAGGAACTGGAGTGTTTTCCAAAACTACCATTAAAAAGGAAGACTATTGTTACACAGTATATTTTGATCTCCAGAACAAAGTAATGTGAAAAGTAGTTTTTAAACACTATTTAGATCACCAACAGCTTTAGAATTAGATTGCCTTCAACAATGTTGCAATGTCAGCTCAATAAGTAGTGAGTTAATTTTGTAGTCATTTGCTACAGTAGACACCTACTAAAATCATATGAGCCTTTGCTACTAGGCACTATTATTTATTCTGATAGTAATATGAAGAGGAATCAAACATAAATGCTGCCCTCAAAGAACTTATCATCCAGGTGGAAAAAAAGAATAAGTACCAGTTTCCTTTAGACAAGTATATATATATAAATCAATTGCTAAGGAAGTTCAGAAGAGCCAGAAATTTTTACTGAAAAGAGTATATCAAGGAAATTTTCATAGATGAGTGTTCAGAATTAAACATACTTTTGAATTAGAAAGTACTTTTAGCATAGGAAGAAGAAAACAGCTATTTTTTGGTTCAATCATTGCGAATAAAGGTAACATGGAAAAGAGGCCTATGGTTACACAACTTCTGAAGCATTCCTTAAGATATTTTAAATATTTAAAAATATTCCCAGTTAGGAGCAAATTAACTTACTTGGTTTTAATAAAAAAGTTAAATGCTAAATATTGTATGACATAGCTCTGTCTAAAAATATTTATGGTATTGACTGATCAATATTGAAATCTTTACCATTAACCTGCTGGATTTTAAAAATTAAGGATTTGCAAGGGGGGCTTTTGATATTTCATAAAGAAGACATTTTAATTAGAATTTTAATGACTGTATTAAATATTGCCTTAAATTAGAAATATAATTTTCTTAGAGAAGGTTCTAGACTAAGTATAGTAGCTGAGTAAATCCTGATAGCCTGTTAATGTATTTTTATTTCTAGATTAGGAATAATATGCCTGGGGCCAGCCAAGTGGCTTGTTGATTAAGAGTTGGCTTGGGAGGAGTAATATGCCTGTATTGTTTTGTTTATTTAAGTATATGCACATTGTTAGATAATTTTAAGTAATAAAATAGATTTGCTATAGGGAAAAAATACTAGACTGCATTTTCTTTTAGGTTTTTCATATCTTCATTTATCTTTTTGAATATCATTAAGAAAGTTTACGGACTTGAAAGAATTAATCCATTTTAAAATTTAAAGCACACTTTATTTTTACTTATAACAATATAGACTTAAAGAATCATAAATCCAGAAATAATTTTAAAATGATTTAGAGTATTAGAGTTTTGTTTATTTTGTTTAATAGCTTTCAGAACCATATGGTTTTAGAACTGGAAATTTCATTTAAAATTTAGATCCTAATTTTGTTCTTTCAAATTATAGCATGGTTTTGTAATCTGTTGGAACAATCTACAATGATACTAGCTCAGTGGGAACAAAAGGTTCTCGTTTATGTCACATGGTCTAGCAGTCTGTTGCGGTATTAAAAATGTGAGGAGGTACTATGATGGGCCCTTAGGGAAGCTATCTAGTACAGTCCCTTACTTTCACAGGAAGAAATTGAGGCCCACAGAGATTACGTTACTTGTCCCAGGTCACACACACAGCATAATGGCAGAGCTAGAACTAGAACCCTACCCTCTGGGCTTCAGCCAGCTAAAATTAAAGTTAAGTTAGCATATCTGCTTTCAACCTCATAGATTTTTCAAAAAACTACGTTGATGACTCAAAGTTATCTGAGTAGAGACTGACCCTTCTAAATAGTATTTATTGAAACTGGAAAGTTCCTGTTGGCTGACTGCTGGAGTTGAATAGCTGCACAGCTCAAGCTTAGAGTGTGAAAGTGTAACTTTAAAATTGAATTAATTATTCATGAATTTTGTAAGATTAAACATTATAAAAATGTAATTTCCATGCTAGATTAAATCTATTGTATATCTAATCCTAGTTCCAGTGTTCTGTTATCATCAGAGGCCTTGTTGATGGCCTCTGATGGCGGGGGGAGGCACCTTGACACCAACCATGAAGTGTATTGGTGGCATTTTCTATTAGTAGGCTTTTGTAATCTCCATCATTCACAAATTTTCTTTCTTGTGCAGCATCTTGAAAGATTGTTAACTCTAGTGTGAAATGTACTGCTTCTTTTATCTCAACTTTACTCAGCTTTTAAAGGATACTCTATTTCTAGAATACACATGTATTAAATAAGGAACATAGGTTCTGCGAAGAAGTTGTAACTTTAAGTTAAACTTTTCTTATACTATTTCTTAAACTCTTTTTCTTTTCCTATTAACCATTTCTTTTGTTGTTCATTTCTAACCTAGAGCTTTTGAATATGCTTAATCTTTATAAATGAAAAATAAAAGATCAATGCTTGTTCTAATAGAGAAAATTATTATCCTCTTTATTGTGCTGGATAAAAAAATTTTAATTGTATCTTTTTACGGTTTATTTCACATGTTCCAATATGATTCTACTTTTTATACTAGGTCATGCATGCATTTAGCGGTTATACTCTTAAAAGGGTGGGTGATGTTTGAATGTTGTGAATAGATTTTTTTGGACCTTTTGCCAAGTACATTTGCTTTTGCATAATATTTTGATAATTGGCATCAAAATAAGTGTATTATACGGTTTTAAAGAATGGCAAGGAAGATTGCAGTGTCTTACTGAAATTTGGCAAAATTATTTTTCCTTAAACTTTGGTGCAGAAAATCAAGGCAATCCAGATACGTATGTGCGTGCGTGCGTGCGTGCGTGCGTGCGTGTGTGTGTGTGTGTGTGTGTGTGTGTGTGTAAGTCAATGAAGGGGAGGTGAAGTATTAAATCGTTTTTGGGGAAACAGACATCAAGATAGTCTGTTATGTAAAGATACACATGCAGACAAGATTCCGCATATTTTTAAAAATCCAAATTGAGTGGCTGGATTTATACCTAGATTTTCTCACTTCTGTGACATATTGATACTATTCCTTGCCCTTCCAAGGCAACAAGTGTTGCCTTGACCTACAAGTTGTTGTTGTGTGCATGTGAACAGGAGCATGCTCTGTCAAAGAGAGTTTCCACCTTTCCAAGCTATGACTAGATTTAGTTATCCTTTTGTGTGTATAATGATCTCTCTACTATTTAAAAAGAAGAGAAACTGGTGGATTTTTGCTACTTTTATAACTTTAACATATGTCGTTTTCTTACTTTTAACCTTATGATTGAGCTGTCCACAGCATGATTTTTTTTTTTTAACTACTGGCAGTATTTATTGGGACTAGCTTAGTTTATTCTTAATTATGTGTCCTGATATTGTATAGAATGGGTATTGTATTTCAATATTATTATTTAAGTGGGCCTTTGTTAAATATAAAGCAAGATAACCTCCACTAGGTCCTGTTAGCAGAAAGTTTTATGTTGTAGAGACAAACAAGGTATTTTTTACTATAAATTGATTTTCTAAATTATATTATTATTTTCAAGCTAGATCATGATGGTAAGGTTAAGTAAAGCAAATGTGGTGCTTTTTTATTTAATTTAAAGCTTCAAATATATGACAAGGTACAGATATAAAAGTCACTTGCTCACAGGATTACAGTTGTACGTAGAATTGCTGACATACTAGGTTCGCAGCCATAATTGGTGGACTCTGTGTTAAAGCTTATGGGAAAACTTATTTAGCTTCACACTGTACTTCTCACTACTTTACTGACAAACAAGTAAATTTACCTGAAAGGATAGATGATGATTAAGCAACATCTGAGAAGAAAAGCACGTTTTTTCAGAAACCATGGGTAAGAGCTGTAAAAGGTACATGTTTTATGTGTCACCCAGAATATAACACTTGGCTTTAACTGAGTAGCTTATAATGTTATTCAGGAAACATATGAAAAGCTCTTCACTCAGCTCTCATGCTTTTTCCCCTTTTCATCTTTCTGCCTCCTGAACTCTTGGTTTGAAACTCTCCCTCCTTATTTTGTAGACACTGCTCTCCTGTTCACTACTTCTTCTCTGTCTTTACGTCTCATCACTGGGCCTCTCTCAGTGTCTGTTTTCCCAACCTTCACCCCAAATTCCAGCTGTATATCTACAACCAGTTGGTCAGGTAACTTTGCACCCTTTTTCAGTGCACTCTTTGATAGAGCATGCTCTGTTCTTTTTGTTTGTTTTGTTTGCTTTTTTTTCCCCCTTGCTTTTTTTATTATTATTTCTAACAGCCTAGAGACCTCTTGTCAAATGTCCCATAGATTTTACCTTTTTGTTTCTACATTAATTTGACATGCTGATTGTTCAAGAAGTGGAGTGACAGTTCTTGTGCTTTTTATTAAGGGTTTGTTGGATGCGTGGGTGCATTTTTGTTGATTAGCTACCACTGCAGATCTAATATGAGCAGCCCACCTGATTTAGCTGTGCCATCTACATTTGAGGAGAGTTTAAGAGTAGCTTTTTAACTACTCAAGTAACATTTCATAAATCAGTAATTTTTCCTAACCCTTTGGAGCTAAGATATATGGGGCTATTTAATTTCAAAGGTGGGGTTAAATTGAGAAATTTGAGGCATTCAGTACATCTCTTGACTCCAGTAAATAAAGTTCTGTTTATATGCATAAGGCATCTGACGCTGGTGCTCTGTCCATGAAAAACAGATTATCACCTGATATTGCATCTCTTAGGTAATGAATGGGTACCAAACTCACTATACCTGAAGCAAAACCAGACTGAATTTGAAAATAAAAGTAAAAAAGGGACATAAACTTGGTTTTTGTTTGTTTGCTTGCTTATTTGGGGGCTTTGGGATTTGTTTTATGTTGTTGTTTTGGTCTTTGTTGTTTTGGGTTTGTGTGTTTTCTGGCCTGAGCCTTCACAATAAATTCCTTATATCTTATATTATGAAAAAGAATCACCTATGAAAAATGAACATATACCTTAAGTATTATCAGTCATGGTTTCCAGATGTTCTGAAGATTTTTTTTTTCTGAATTTACTACTCTTTCCTTTGCTACTCTTACAACTACACATAAAACATAAATTCTCTGATTTTCTGAATAAGTTGACTCAGGAAAGCTATTATCTCAAACTTTTTTCAGAGGAGTAGTACGAATGCCCTTTTTCACACAGCTTGTTGGTAAGGTAATGAGTGACAGCTCTCAGTGATTCCTGCCTGTGGATTTGTCCTCTCACTGTTCTTCCTGGTGTGGCCATAGGTTTCTGACAAAGCGGGAGCAAAAACTCATGCAGCGGCGACAACATGCAGAAGAGCTACTAGAATGGAAGCGACGTTTAGATGCCGAGGAAGCAGAAATTCGTCAAATGGAAAAACAAGCTTTGGCTGCCTGGGACAAAGAATTAATAAAGCCTAAAACTCCTAAGAAAGAACTGGAGGACCAGAGAACAGAACAGAAAGGTAATAAATACTAACTCTATTCAGACAACAAACTAAAGCCTAATGTAACAGGAGACTTACTTTCTTATTTTTAAAAATGTGAATGAGTAAGGGTGAAGAAGATGATACATCTACAAATGCTACAAAAGTTGGAAAGTTAAGAGAATAACTTTATGCTATTGTACTTGCAAACTTAGAAGAAATGGGCAAAATTCCGTGAAATGGAAATGGGTTATTCCATGACCAAGTGGAGTTTAACACATATTAAAAAATTGATAATTCAGTGAATTACTTAAAGGAGAAAAATAACACGTTTTTAAATTAGGCACAAGAGCAGACACTTCACAAATGGTCAATAAACATATGAAAAGATGTTCAACTTCATTGGTATCAAGGCATAAAAACCATAAAGAAATACCATTGCATACCTGTATTTATTTCCTAGGACTGCCGTAACAAATTACCACAAATTTGGTGGCTAAGAAAAAAATGTATGCTATCACTCTGGAGGCCAGAAGTACAAAATCAAGGTGTTAGCAGGCCTGTCGGTTCCAGGGGACAATCCCTTCATTCCTTCTCCCAGCTTCTGGTGGCGATGCTGTAGGCATTCCTTGTGACTCCAGTTTCCTTCATGTCTGTCTCCTCTTTTGTGTCATAAGGAAATTGTCATTGTATTTAGGCCCTATCCGCATAATCTAGGATGATCCCATCACAAGATCCTTAATTACACCTGCAAAGACCTGTTTTCCAAGTAAGAGTACATTCACAGGTTCTGGGGGTTAAGACATAGACATATCTTTTGAGGATCCATCATTCAAGCCATTTACAATACTCATCTAACCTGTTGGTATGCAGGCGGAACAGAGAGCTGCTGTTCCACCTCTGGACACGCACCAAAAAGGAATGAAAGCGCGTTCTCTAAGAGCTATTTGTGCACATGTGTCTATAGCACGTTATTCCCAATCACCAAAATATGAAAGCAACCCAAGTGTCTTATTGACAGACAAATGGATATGTAAAATGTGGCACATACATACAATGGAATATTATTCAGCCTTAAAAAGGAGGGAAATCCTGACACATGCCACAACATGGATGAGTCTTGAAGACATCGTGCTACGTGAAATAAACCAGCCTCAAAAGGACAAATATTGTATGATTCCACTTACATGAGGTGCCTTGAATAGTCAAGTCATGGACACAGAAAGCAGAATGGTTGCTACTAGGGATTGGGGGTGGGGATGGGGTGTTATTATTTAAGAGTACAGAGTTTCAGTTTAGGAAGTGTAAAACTTCTGGAAATGGATGGTGGTGATGATTGCACACCAGTGTGAAGGTGCTTAATTTCACTGATCTGTACACTTAAAAGTGGTTAAGATGGCAAATTTTATGTTATATGCATTTTACCATAACTTAAAGAAAATAAAATTTAAGAAGTCAGGGAGTATAGTAAAAGGTCCTGGAAGACACACGCAGTAACCATACTTGACTGCCACGGATTCACTGTGGAGGTGTGGAAATTGGGCAGCTGGAAGTGGTTGGGGATGAGCGTGCGAAATAATCACCTTACGTCTTTCTGCACTATTTGAAGATTGTTTGTTTACTACATTCTTGTACTACTTTTATAATTTAAAAAATAAGGGAAAAGGAAAAAAAATGAAGACTTCCAAAACGAAGTCTTGCACAGACAGCAGATTGGAGAAGCTATGGTGGTGGTTGTCTCAGAAGGTAGCGATACAGGTGACTGTCATTTTTTTCTTTATACAATTTTTATATTGTTTGAATGTTTTAAGTGAGTATATATGTTACTGTTATCAAACAAAAATATATATGTTGAGGGGTATAAAGCAGAAAGGTAGAGGAGTCTTTTGTTGCCTACTACCTAAAAATTAAATCATTTTCTAAACTATTTTAAGTTATACCCATATTCTGACTTGGAACAGATGAATATCCTTGAGGAGTTTTAGAATTCATTCATTCATTCAGCCATTGTGGTTATACTTCACATACACAATATAAAAATATACCTTTTTAATTTTTTTTTTTTTTTTTTTTTTAGCTGAGCCATGCCACCTCCTGTCGGCTGCTCAGCTCGGGCTGACTCGAACCGCTGTTGCTCAGAGCTCAAACTCTTGAGCGAGCTCTTAACCAACTGAGCCACTCAGCTGGCCCTTA